TATATATATATATTTGATGTGGACAGCTAGAGCCAGGTTTCATGTGTTGAATGGAAGAAAACCTGCCTCTGCAGACTAACTTCTTTTTAAAAAATGGTATAACTCAAACTAACTCACTGAGGCATAACATTGAGCAGGTAATGCACCAATGATGTTGTTTTTTACTTCGCAGCTTCTCAGTAGTTTTGTTTTCCCGTCAGCTGACTGGAATGATTTCGAAAAACCTTACAATCTGTAAATTTTGCAAATACAGAATAGCTACAAAACAGAAGATGAAGAAAGAAGAGAAAAATGCAAAAAACAAAAGACAATAATCTGAAATTACAAATGGATTTTCTATTGAAGAGAATAAAGCTTTGAGATACCAGAGAGTATACTTATCAAAATCTGAGCACCTTAAAAACAAACATCATAAAGGATACAATCCACACACACATCCAGCAATTAAAGGAGGAGGAGTACACAAAAGAGGGAGACAAGATTAGAAAAGGGAGAAGATCAACACTGAGGAAAAGGAAAAGAAAGAAGAAAAATACAGGAGGTAGGTTGAACAAAGAAATCAGGGTGATTCAGCCAATCTTATTTGGTTGCGCAAACCATAGCTGGGCCTACGAGCACCATCCATCATCAGATAAATGTAGGCTGTCTCTTCCAAAACCCACAAACAAGCAATCAAACAAAAACAAGACATTTCACCTCAGGACTCACCTTGAACAGTTTAAATTCTAAAATCTAGTCCCAGAGCCACTCAGTACCAGGATCCTTTCCATACCTCATGAGAGCAAAAACTTGGGAGTTATATACAAACTCCACCACTCTGGTGCCATCATCTGCCTCTCACAAGTGATCCTTTGGGTTGTGCCAGCTCCCACTGGGAAGAAGACCTGACAGGAGAGAAGATGACAGTTGTAAGAAAACTAAACATTTAATACACTGAAGGTGAAAAGATAACCTGTTAAGAGATGCACATCACCTACCTGAGTATACAACCCTGTACGTGGAGTGTGGTGAAGAGGGGGGCTGTACCTTCCTGTGGGTTTCCTCCATGTCTGCTTTGAGGAAACTCAACATGCAGGCACTGACGCTCCCTCTGTCCTCTATACATTCTGATTTTGTACAGTTATACACCCAGGATTATGTACATCTAAAACTGTCTACTCCAACAGTCCTGCAGTAAGTCCAACCTACTTGTTTTTATTAAAACTGAGGCAACATGATAGTAATTTTATAGGATGTAGTTTGTGGTGCTGTTGAACTGTATAGCATCATACAGCAAGATACTTCTTTCATTCAGCTTATCCTAATTAATAAAAAATAGGGTGGGCTAAAAAACACGAACACCATAATATAGCAAAATATAAACATCGATGTCAACCTTAAAAATCCTGCTTTCAGGTTGTAACTTAGTGTTGCAACTCTACCAACAATCGCAGAAATTGTTGAGGGCATTGCATAGTTCAAGATGCTGCTCTTTTAACTTTATAGACAAAAAAAATGCTGTGTAATGAAGTTACAATGCACAAGGTGGAAAATAGGAAGCGCTTTCTGAGACAGCTCCAGTCTGTCGAAGCCTTTAAAACTCCTTCAGTCTCTGTGTCTCTGTCCGTGGTGCTGAAACAGCCAAACACATCTCTCTGTTCAAGCTATATTCATTTTCAACTAAAACACACACATGTACATGCGCACACATACAAAAAATGCTGTGCATACGAATGCCTGAAGCTTCAGAGTGTGATGTTATTTCCAACCCAATGTACACTGCTATTGTTTCTCATATTAAAGTACAACTGATACAAAGGATCTTTAATGCAGTGGGCTATCATGCTAATATTTGTTACTGTTTTAAAATCTAATTAAAATAAATAATAAATGTAACAGGCTGAGGCATTTTGGGTTTTATTTGGCTACTGGACACCTCTATAATATCTGTAAAAACACACAAACCAAAAAAACAACAGTACAGCTGCATCTACATCCCAGTGCATGTGCCGCCCCAAAAAGAAAAGGACTCTGAAATCCAAACCAACGTGGCTTGAGAAAGTGCGAGAAGGGGACAGAGAAGTTATATTATGATAAATCGTATTCTGATATTAGGACTGGATGTGGGTTTTCTGTTCGCAGATGAGGGAACTGTGCCAGCGCAGATAGTCTGATGGGATTTTGTCTGATCTGACCTGACTTGATTGAAATTCATTTGCTTTGCTGACTTTATTTGATTTGACTTAACTTCATGTGATTTGCTTGATTGGATCAGATCAGATTTTGTTTCAATGGTTCTGATGTGATTTTGTCTGGTCTGATCTGGCTTCGGGCTGCAAGGTGGAGCGGTGGTTAGCACCAGAGCCTCACAGCAAGAAGGTCGCTGGTTCGCGTCCCAGTGGGGGCACCGGGATCTTTCTGCGTGGGATTTGCATGTTCTCCCCGTGCAGCGTGGGTTCTCTCCAGGTTCTCCAGCTTCCTCCCACAGTACAAAAACATGTTGAGGTTAATTGGTGATTCTAAATTGTCCGTAGGTGTGAATGTGAGTGTGCTTGTTGTCTGTCTCTAAGTGTAGCCCTGTGATAGACTGGTGACCTGTCCAGGGTGTCCCCTGCCTTCACTCTAAGTCAGCTGGGATAGGCTCCAGCTTCCCTCATGACCCTAGTGAGGATTAAGCAGTGTATAGATGATGGATGGATGACCTGGCTTGACCTGATTTGTGTTGTTGACTTTACCTGGATTTGATTCATTTTTTCTTGTTCAAATTGTATTTGAAACACCTTGATTTGGCAATTTTATCAGTTCCAAATTAATGTCAAATTTTTTACAAGTCATTTATTGCAGTTGGATTTTACTTGCATTCATTTGATGGTATGGATCTAATGAAAGGTGATGTGACTTGTCTGACGTGAATGTTGTCCTTGTTAGTGTGACTCTGGTCAGGGTGCCTGTCAGAGGTTTGGGTGAATCTGGGAGGGATAGCGTGAAACCCCTCACTTGTTACGCCCTCATAGTGAAAACACTTCTGTCAGATATCAAAAAGGATACAGACAGCATGTGGTGGTTCACACGTCTTTATGCACCCACCCTTGACCGACAGTGGAGTCGACAGTGACAAGAACCAGAGTTCCAGGGCTTAAACTGGAAAGAAAATGTATGTAATGAATGTTGGGTAATCCCCCATACCCAAACTAAAATGTTTCTATTCCTGCTGCTCAAGTTAAGAAGACATTATGTCATGTCATAGCAGTGACAGCTCCAAAAGATCACATAGCACAGGTGTAATTTCAGGCAAACTCTGTGATATCCTGATATCTGCAAGTTCCAATTGTAAAGATTACTTAAATACTAGACTGCAGTGTTTTTGTCTATTGTTAACTTTTGCAATGTTTGTGTATTTGAGCCTGAAGAGGAGCTCTGGTACCCGTCTGTCCTCCATCTGCTGTCCAGTTCTTGCCCCCCTTTACGCTCGCCCAACCGGTTAAAGGAGATGACTACCCCTCCTGAGTCTGGTTCTGCCAGAGGTTTTATCTTTCCTCCCCACTGTCGTCAAGTGCTCGCTCAAAGGGGGTCTAAAGGAAACTTTGGCTTTCTCTGATTTGATCACAATATACAAAAAGCGAGAACTTAAAATAAAAAGTGTGTGCTTCTTTTAAAGTTTTATGTAACAGCCCCTTCCTTTGATATCAGATGAATGAGAAGCACATTTCATGGCTTGAAAATTATTTTGGCTAAAAAGAAAAAAACCTTAAAAGCACATTAAGACCACTGAATAGTTGAGAATGTCTGACTTCACCATGTACAAATATCACAAACACAACTGCATATGTTGTATAACTGCTGTGTGCTTTTGTACCCAATCGTAGTTTGTACAAGATATAGGGGGAAAGAAAAACAAAAATCATTTAATTAAATGTTATTGAATGTTTTATTAAAAGAGAATAAAGCTTTGAAATATTGGAGATTATATGTAAGAAAATCAGAAATCCTCCACCTTTGGAAAAGACTGACCTATGAAAAGAAATACAAACCACATTAAGGTCACATTCCCTTGTCGCCTCCCAGACCTCCCTCTTCCTTCCCTCCCTCCTCCACTGGTAACATTTGCCCACTATTTACCACTCTCCTTACGCGTGTGGATCCATCCTGCACCTCCCAGCCCTCCTCCTGGATTTGATCCGAGCTTTGCTCTTCTTTTTTTTTTTTTTCTTTTTTTAGAATTTAAAAGAACAAAAATTTAAAAAATAAATCGCTGTTCACTGTGCCGTCAGTAATTGTGTCTCTGAGGTCCCACACGAAATAAAAAAATAAAAAAAATTGGAGTAATTCGAAAGCCAATTTGGTTTAAATTTCTCACTACAATGTTTCCGGTTTGATGGGGGTTATGTGGACAGGGCCGGGGGTCGTGCTCCATGTATCCATCCTGAAGCCTAATCCTAATCCTGCTCTGATCCTGAATCCTGATCCGGCTCCGGAATGGGGAGACACTGAGCCCAGTCCAAACCTTCAGAATACCAGCAGAACCAAAGAGAAGGAGGCGAATTAGAATCACACCTTCAGAAAATACTTCAAGTAATGTCAATAAATGCAACTACCAGGGAGTTTACTTTGAGAAAAACAACGGGGCACCATCTATAATCAAGCCCCAAATGCCAAGATTTACTTTGGATACTGAAAAGAGAGGGAAAGCAAAAAATAAAAAACAAAACAAAACAAAACAAAAAAAACAAGCTCTGGGTCTCCAATTACAAAGTGGCACACAGAACTTGTAACTACTGAAAACATTCAAAAACGCACTCTATTTTAAAGTGTATGTAAAAACTAACAAGCCTTAGAATGCAGATTTCACAGTTGACAAGGCACAGCCATCATACCATTGGTGCCATATTTGACTCCTCCTCCTCCTGTTTATCTTAATATGAACTGTCTCCTCTGTCCCATCCTATCCTGATCCACTGAACTCTACAGAGAAACACACAAGAAGGTCAAAGGACAGTAGTATATGCTTGAAAGAAGTAAAAATCTTTACAAATGAAACCAAAAGCATAAAGCATTCAACAAGCACAATCAGGAGAAGAAAAGTACGGGGATGAGGAAAAGATAGCAGAAAAAGAATGTTTACGAGAAAAGGAAAAGGCAAGAATGAAGTAAAACTAGGTTATGTAGACAGATCACACTGATCTGGTCTGCAAAAATGAGAACAAAAAAATAAAACTTCAACAAAAAGTGTGTGTGTGTGGGGAGGGGGGAGAGAGAGAGAGAGAGAATTCAACATGGCATGACAGCATACACTGGTGATGCAGAAGATGATCCTCGGTGAGTATACAGGGCTTTTTAAGTGATGTGAACACGTCTCCTCTCTGGCTCTGAGGGACACCATCGCTTTAGTTTAGGTCAGGTGTGTCTAGGTACGAGAGCGGGAGCGGGAGCGGGAACGCCGAGGAGAGTAACGTGGAGACCCTCTGCTGCGACGTGGCGAGTAGCTGCGAGAACCACTCTTGCTCCGGCTTCGGCTGCGGCTTCGGGAGCGAGATCGGCCGTAGCTGGGGCTGCGAGGACCGTCCATCTTCACGCGGATGTAGGCCGTCTCTCCCTAAACACAGGCGTGCACACGTAACTAACTAAGCATTCATTGGCATGTGTAAGACTCTACATGAGACTCCTGCAGACACCAGATAGAGTCTAGTTGTTATGTTTAGTGCTCTTAGTGTGCCTTGGGATATTGTTGGACAAGTGACAGATCTTCAGACTGTGGGATTTGAAATTAGCCATGCACACATCTTAAAGTCGTTCTGGCTATTTCTGCACCTTTTCCTCACTTAACTTTCTAAAAACTCTGAACAGACATAACATGTGTCAACTACGGTCTCCTGTGCTGACAACTCAGAAATGTCCTAATATGGTACAACTGTCTCTGGAAATAGCTTCCAGTCAAAATAATGTCCAACAAAAAAAAGTGGTTTATACAATTTTCGTTTTAACACGAGAGTCATAGACAGAATTAGTAGACAAAGCAACATCACAGTCATTCAGGTTAAACTCTGGGCTTTACTTGCTGCCCTGTGTCGTTTTCAGTCTCTCGTTCTTTCTTCCTTTACTGGAGATTTCCAAATCCAAAATGTAGTCCCAGAGCGACTCCTTATTAAGCTACCCTAATACTGTGATCCTTTACATACCTCATGGGAGCGAAACTTGGTGTTATCCAATTTACGGACAGCGTAGGTCATGTCTTCTTTGCGTACAAACTCCACCACTCCGGTGCCATCACGGTACACATCAGCATAACATACATCACCTGCCTCTCGCATGTGATCCTTCAGGTCCTGCCAGCTCCCGCTGGGAGGAAGACCTGACAGCAGAGAAGATGCCGTAAGATTAATTTGTACTTCAAAAGAGATCAGCACAACCTGCACAGAGAGGAACTTGTCACCCACCTGACACAACGACCCTGTTCTCTGAGCGTCGGGATGGGGGACCGTACCGTCCCCTCGGGGGTCCCATTGCTCCACCGCCGCCGCCGCCGCCGCCGCCACCACCTCCTCCTCCTCCTCCTCCTCCACCACCACCTCCCCTTCCACTTCTAGGAAACTCAACACGCAGTCGGTAGCCATCATAGTCATAACCATCGCGCCCATAAACGGCATCCTCAGCATCCCTGTGAAATCCAGCAGTTGTCAATCATTCAAATGAAATAGCTAAATAAATACAGCTTTAGTCAAGTCAAGGAACTCCCGTCAGGGTAAGTAGATTGATGTCGTTTTTTGTTTTTTGCTTTGCAGCATGTTAGCTTACAACCACTGACTTGTACGGATGATACCTAAGAGGAAATTGCATTTTGCAAAGTTACTGATTGCGGTTATCTAAATGAGAGAAAAGGGCAGCCGTCGACTGGAAATGCCAAGGTTGCTTAGTGTGTGCAAGTGCAAAGGCAACTAATGGCACACAGAACTGAGGAATGCTTGAACTGGTAGCTACTCAGGACCGAAAAGCCTTTCAGGCATGTCAAATCGTTGACCCCTTCCAGCTTGCAACACATTGCGATCTAAAGGAGCTGCCAGTCCAAGCCATCGTGTGCTCCTTGTGCCAGGAAACACCTTTGTTTGCACACAGGTTAAAACTGCATATTAAAGTTGCTTGTCAGTTTCTGAAATGACTCCTTTGCTTTTTTCTTTGAGTTATAAAAAAGCCTTTTTCTACAGCTTTACTGTCTATACATAGATGTAGCCATGCGTCCCATTTAAAGCATGCAATTTGTTTTGGACATTTTTAGAATATTTGAGCTTTAAGTCATCCCTTACATGTTTTTTTCTCTATTAAGTAAAGCTAATGAACAGAAGCATGTGTAGCTTGTTGTTTGTAAGGTACAGTGGACTGGCAGTGCTAATAGGAAATAATACTCCTGGGGGACTGCTACGAATCACGTGCCAAAGATATTCACTGATACAATTTATATTAAAAAAAAGAAAAAAGAAGAAAAAGCAGAAAACTCTCTTGAATATTGACTTGAATGATTAACAGATTATCAAAACAACTGCCAACGTATCCCTAACTTACATGGTTTGCAATTAGCACAGACTATACAAGGTTCATTTGCATGCAAACAAAACCAACATCAGATAACAGAGCACACTTCAACTACCACAGGCCTCAACGAGAGCACAATAAACACTAGAAACACGCTCATACACTTCAACTGACCCATTTATTACAGCCACCAAACACTGTAATAAGTAAGTCAAGACCTGTGCAAAAACTAAAACCGACTGCAGTATATACTAGTAAACTTTAAATTGAATGTATGTGCCTGTTTATTTCAGTTTGTTGTGCAGCTAGCTAACTGTGCAGATAACGCCGCCGAGACGTGGCGGACCACCGCGGCTCACCTCGGGTCCTCGAACTGCACGAAGGCAAACGGCGGTCCTCCTCTGCGGTTTTTCAGATCGATGTCGCGAATAGATCCGTATTTGTAAAACAAGTCTTCCACGTCTTTTGAGCGGATGTCGGGAGGGAGATTCCCCACGTATATCCGACAGTCGTTGCTGCCCGCTGGTCCTCGGATGACTCCTGCGCCGGACATGATAGCGCAAACCCAGCTAACGACGAGGGAAGCTAGCTAGCGGTACTCCTGGTGAAGAAAAAAAAAACATAGAAAAGTGACGCTTGGGTAGTAAATTAAATGTGAGAACTACACGTAAAATGTAAAGTTGCACCTACGTTTCGATGAAAGCTGCAACGCCTCCAGTTAGACGCCAAAACAGACAAGCAGCAGCTAAAAGTTGCGCCTTTCTTCGGTGGTGTGACGGAGCGCAGTGGGCTTTAAAAAGGTGTTGGTACCGCCACCTACTGGAGACTGTGAGATCACACGCCACACCATGTGTAGGTTGAGCGTCAAAGTTTATCTAAACATCTCACCTCGAGGTCAATTTAGGAACTGTAATCTATTTTATCTTCATGAAACCTGTGTGACAAAGAACTAAATACAATCATGTGACCTGATTAAAAGGTCCAGAAATGCACCTCAATGGATTTATTTATCACTTATCATAGTTGAAGAGATTTATAACAAAGGACTTGGGAAACTATGGAGGCCCGGAAGGGACACGGAGAAAAAAAACAGGGAGAGTTTAAAAAAAAATAAAAAATTTAATTAAAAAAAAAATGGGGGTATCTTTTGCAAGATCTCGCAAAAGTCCCATCAATCTTATTGGACGTTTTGTGAAAACTGTGCCTCTTGCTAAGTACTGCTTGAATGTCTTTATATTTTAGGGTGATTTCAAAATCAAACTCATTAAAACTCTTGTAGGAGTGGGTGTCCGCCACTGTTGTTTCTCCATACTGCCAAACAGACCCAGAAATAGTGTATATATATAAGTGTATACAAGATACCTCCATTTTTTTTTCTTTCCCTGTTTTTTTTCCCTTTCTTTCTCTATGCCCCTTCCGGCGCTCCGTAGGAAACAGTTATACAATTGCAAATTTAAGTGTGCCATGCGGTCACTTTAATCTAAACACAAATACATTAAAAGTCTAGTAAGGGATTAAAAAACATTTTCCCTAAACCAAACATTGGAGTTAAAGACAGCAGGCTGATACTGATAGCTTTTGGGAAAGCCATGAAGTGGATCTTGTGTTAATATTATTTTGCTAGATTGTCATTTTTAATAGTCAAGAGTGAACTTTAATGCTTCACAAATTCATTACCTGCATTAATATAATAATAAAATGTAATTTTGAAGGCTGCCAAATAAAGGGAGGGAAAAAAGCTTAAAACACAAGTTCCAACTTTAGTCTTTATTTTTTTAATAACTTAGAAGAACTGAATCGAAATATAAAACTTGTACACATTTACAATTCAAGCTTACAGCTGTACAGTGTCAGACAGTCCCAGGCCATTCATTAAAATCTTAAAACAGAAATAAATCCTCATATGAAATAAGAAAAAAAAAAATCAATACATAACTGACTTGCAAACCCCAGACCTCAATGCTGCAAATGAGCCTTTCTTCATGCCTGCCTTTGCACTTAAATGTCAAGGCCACCGACAAAACCTTATTCTTCATGACAGGATTTTTGTTCATCACATTTCCTCAGATGTCTCAGTCCTTTTTGGCTTGCTTCTCTCTGCGTCTCTGTCTCGCCTCGGACACGATTTTGAGCAGTGACAGCAGAATAGGTACACACATGGGTAGGAAGAGTGGTATGTAGATAGCAAACTTCTGATCATCAGGGAAATAGAGGAGGTGGAGGAGTGAAGGGTCGAAGAATGCCTTCTCTGATGCCAAGATGGCCTCTTTACTGAACTGGAGAGCAAAGCCGAGATTCCCGGCCTCTAGCTCAGCCACAGCCAGTTGCAGAGATGTAACAGCACTGGACACCTGAGTGAGAGAAACAAGTCACAGGTTAGGATTAGTTATGCAATGAAAAGTCATGAGACGTTTACTGATTTCAAACCCATTAAAATAGCTGAGAAGGATTTGACACTAGTCTGATAACCAAACTGAAATGCCAGTGCGCTTCATTTGCTTCATTTAGCCTGACAATGTGCTCATGTTGGCACACTTCTTGTTTAGACAGGGAGTTATTTTTCGGCTTGCCCTAACCAAACAGTAGCACATTTCATCTGTTCACTTAACATATTTTTCAGCTGACGTGTAAGAAGTCTTGGATAGATAAGAGCTTTCTCCAGCGCTGACGCAACACTGGAGAGAAAATATCCAGCTTGTTTGCATTTTTTTAAACAACCATGATGGAGTTATGTGGTGATAAGTGTAGAATTAAGCAACACTGACCCTGTAAAATAAAGTCAGGGAGGGGAAAAACTGTCTTTGGTGGAACATCTGTGTGCAGGGAAGTAAGCACTACCACGAAAATGGCTAATACACTGAAAGAACTGAGCAGGTCTGCTTTATTGCACAGTCAAAATCTTCGTCAAAACTTGCAATTTTTCAATGTGTAGATTGCTTGCTTGGAGGTTGTTGTTGCCGTTTCTCAGGAAGGGGGTTTTAAAAATAGTAATACAGATAGCAGAAGGGAATGAGACTGCTGCATGAAATGGGAGGTGGAAAAATGTCAGTTTATACCCGCAGTCTATATTTAGTGAGTCAGCTTGAAAGCTGCAGTATCCATGTCTGAATACAGTAGGCCTAATGTAAACTTATAGAGCATTTCTTTATACCAAATCAATTACTACTCCGTTCAAGTTGGAACTAAAGAACTCAAACAAGAAAAACAGCCCCTAGAGCAAGGATATACAGTAAGTTACAAAAGTGAGTTTCAGGGTGTTGGCAATCTTCCTATAGCCTCAGCCATCTTTATGGAGAGCAACAATTCTTTTTTTTTCTTTTTTTCAAACTCCGTCTCTTCCTGTCTATATGCAAATGTAAAGACAGAGTTTTTCCAAATCTCCACTTTGGCCGGAGTTTTCAGATATGATCGTTTTTGGTGACTTGTAGCTTCATTTATGTGTAAACCAAAGGCCCAAATGCATTGAAATATCACAGTTTTTGCTACGTGTAAATGGGGCCCTAGTCAAGAAAGTCACTTGGAGCCATTTCAAAGCAGCTACAGATCCCATCTATAAACCTATATAAGAACCTAAATGCATGATTGTTTTTTGAGACATAGACGCATGTGTTTCAATGAGCTATCATAGAAAATTCAGAGTTGTAGGAGTCACTGGAGACTTAACACTGCCATGATACATATGGTCTTTACAAGTGTATGGAAAATTTTCTTCACAACTGTACGTGTACAACTGAGCAACACAGAAGCAGATGTAGTAGGTATACATGCATTTTTACCTGCTGGGCAATGTTGTCATTGATGACAATGTTGCCTATCTGGTCGAGCAGCTGTGCCAGAGAGGTGATGGTTGTGGTTGCTGTTGCAACATTTTCCACACTACGACTCCACATGAGGCGGTCCAGCTCCCAGTCAGCGAGTCCTGTACTGCCACACGGTGCAAGCAGGAAGCCTGGGGGAGGCGTTGATGACTGCACACCCAGCAGCAGTCTGACAGGTTGCAGTACAGTAAAGTTACCTTGTGTCTACAGGAAAGGCAATAGCTGTAATTCTATTGGTTAAAACTTACCGAAGCTGTGCGAGGAACACTCCCATGACTTTAGCCATGTTAATGTTGACATCAACTGGGAACTCGGGCTCTGATCCATAGAAACCATTAACATTATAAACCTATGGAAATATGGATAAATAGTCTTTATTGATACATTACCCAACAGTCACCACACAGTTAACTGTTGTGAAAACCATAGTATTTAGATTGCTACCACCCAGTGTTACCTTTAGTCTGTCTTACCATAATTCCACCCCAACGTGGAGAGTGAAACGCATTGGAAGGCACTTCTTGTTTCTTGCGGTCCTGGATGTAAAGAGGTGAATGGTGGGCATCTGGGACGTACAGCAGAAAATTCAACACTGGGTTGGAGGATGCAGCATTGGATCCTACAAAAAAAAAACAATTGGAAGAAAACAAAACAGCTCTGTTTAAATACAACAGTACAAATGACACCATGTTCCACCAAAAAAAAAAAAAAAGTTTTTTTACCAAGTCTAGCCTCCACCGGGTTGATGACATGTGCAAGGCTGTCAGCGTTGAGAGTGAAGGCGTTGCGGCTGGTGTCAAAACGTGGGTTGACACCAAGCATGGCGTAGTATAATGTCTGTAAAAACAGCGTGTTTTATTAGCATTCAGTAGGTGAGCATCGTTTGGTGATATGGGTCCTGCACATCAACAAACACAGTACCTGAGAGTCGATACTAAAGTTGGCCACAGGAGAAAGTTTTGTAAGCAATGGTTGGATGTAGGTCTGCACAGCACCCTCTATGTCCCAGTGTAGTCGGTGTGACTTTGGATCAGGGTTCAACAGGCTGAATGTTATCTCATAACCTAAAGAGAATATAAAAATAAGCAAAGAAGAGATGGAAAGCATTCACAGAGATGGAACACATACCGACTGGAACAAAAATTAAGTTAGTCCACTTTATGGCTCACCAACCTGGGCTGGATTTGAAGGCTCTCATACTGTCAGCGATGGTGTCTTTGCTGTCAGGGCTGAAACGGACTCTGTCGCTGAGGGCGACAGTGATGTCAGTGTGGCTAAAAGACATCACCTGTAGCACCTGCTTGATCCGAGGCTCCAGGTGAGCCAGCAATTGCTCTATCGTCTTTCCCACTCTCATCTGGGGACCAATACGCATCAGGGCTGTCCGTCGCTGACCGATGTACACATTCACATCCTGGAAGGTATGAAGATACAGGTCAGATGCCTGGGTACCTCTACTTATCTGAAATGGTACAAATTACTCTGTCTGTTTCCAAGCTGTATAAAAGGTACTGCATTTAGACCCTAGTGGTTAGGCAGTATTTAGTTATACTGATTATTCAGTTGTACTGTTAATTAAAGCATAACACAACACAGAGACTTTAATTAACACTCTTGACAAATGAACACATTTAAGCAAAAAAAAAAAAAAAAGTTTTCCAGTATCTGCTTAATACTCTTTCAAACTAAATATACAAGAAATCACCATCAAAGTACAAAAGAGCTTTAACCTCAGACAGCAGTGAAGAAGACTCTGGGATCACATAAACAACCACAGAACCACACGGGCTCTCACTGAGCGTGTGCAGAGATAAGTCTGCCTCTAAAGAAGAAGACAAAGAGCAACAGAGAGAAGTTACTACATGTGGTTTCACTAAGATAACAAAATGATAAAATTGGAAGTGCTGAAAGCTGGATTGGACAGGCAGCTTACCAGCAGCAGTGGCCTGGTTCAGGGCGTCCTCCTCCATGATTGTAGCTGTGCGGTACCTCGTCTCATACCTGTACCTCAAAGCTGTGTCCTCTGAAGGAAAAAAGAAAATGAGACAAAGAAAATTAAGTTACAGGCTTTGAATTTTGTAACGGTGGGATCATAAACAGTAATAATAAATCACCATCTATTGGGCGTTCCTCATCCTGCGTCTGTGTCAGTGGAACCTTCTTCTGTTGTTCCGGTGTCACGGTGCCACGTGCAAACACGACCTCCACATCTGCACTTAACTGCAGCTACAGAGAAGAAATAGGGAGATGGACTTTTTTTTTTTGTTTTTAAAAAGGGCATTAAAACATGGTTGATAAATTAACCACAAGATAGAAGACATGCAATTATTAGAAGAATCAACAAACCTGCAGCTTTGCCAGTTCATTTATCTGACTGACAGGCAACCAGGCACGGTACGTTTCAGTTGTTCGCCACCACAGCGGGACTCCCACGATGATGACCACCGCTGCGATGGACAGAGCAGCGAGCTGACCTCGTCTACGCTCTGAGAGAAATAACAAGACAGAGAGACAGCATTTTTGAGTGCATGCAATTATTTATTCGTGATTAATCTAGGAAACATGACAGTCATAAACTGCTTGATTTGTTCATGCATATATTTTATATTTTAACATAATGAGAAAGACAAGCAGCAAATGTTTGGCATTTTGCATCAAAACTGACAATAGCAATTTATTGCAGACCAGCTTTTTTTTTTTTTTTTTTTAAGACTTACCATTTTTTCAGTAATCACTGAAGCTCTAAATGATAAGTTTCATAACATATGTCAGACCTGAGATTCTGATCATTATGTCAGTCATACCAGACATAAAAGCATCAACTGCCAGATACCATATCATACCATTTATACTACTTTATTGTGGACAATTCTCAAAATCAGTAAGCAGGACTGTTTAGTAGTAATAATGGATTTTGGGCATTAATGTCACTCGTACTCTGTTATCTTACTAGATTAACAGAAATCCCTTCCCCTATTTATGAAAATAGCAAAATATTACTTTATATACCATGACAGAGGATCTTATTTAAGTCTTTTACACGCGAAGTATAGTTGATTAAAGCAAGATGCTGCTGGTATCCGTTTATTCCATTTTATGCTGAGCTAAATGTTGCACTCACCATAGTGCAAGGTGGCAACGCCTGGTTCAGTTATAAAGGCAAAACAAGAAGCATCACTCTCCTTTGAAGAATTTAGGAAATTTAGGAATGCAATGAAACAAAGATACAGGGAGGCAAAAAGTGCAGGTGCTTCTTGAGGAATCGTCCCTGCAGTTGCAGCTAGCTAGCTGTTAGCTGCTAGCTTCTGGGGATTATAACATAGAGAAAACGGCCCCCCTGAGCTATGGTCGCTACAACTGTTGTACGTCTAAAAAATACTCTAAAACTGCAGCACAGTGGTATAAATGCTACCCTTTTTAGAAGGCGAAAAAATTACACAGAAACCAGTTAATGAATCTACTCACCCACTTCCGTGGTAGCCATTTCTGTCAATGAACTGAAGGGGTGCGCTTGTTCATGTTACTCAAGCAGCCAAATGTCATGTGACCAATGTTGACACCAAACCCAGTGACTCATATGGGTATGAAGCGCACCTATGATTTATATTTATAGATACATTTACCGAAATGGAAGCAAATGTTGTGATTTGTGACTGTATATCTATCCCAAACCTGAGGGACAGTGACCATCGGGACATCCCGGTAATTATATGTAACGCACAAGCACAATGTGCGACACTTGCAAACAGTGCCTCATGTGGTGGCTTTCATTTGGATACAAATACATGAATTCAGTTAATCAGAAAATGGAAACATTAGAGCGTACTGTTTAATGCATATACAACTCAAAATAACACAAAATATTACTCTACTTACTTATAGTACTTTGACCACTTTGTCTGTATATGTGAAGGGACAACAATATTGGAATCACATTACAGCACAATTCAATGATTGTAATGTGAATTCACCTTGAATTCTTAATTTGTTATGATCATGGAGATTCTATAAGATTATTTACTGCAATCTGTGAGGAAATGTTATTTGCACAACAATTCATCACTTAATTTTTTTCTCCAAAATAAAGATGCTATTTATTTTTTTATATATATTCTAAAGTATCTAGAATAGTCATCTAGCACTCAAACTCACTTTCTAAGTAGAATCACAGCAAAACTGGATAACTCTGCCTCAAAAACTGGGCCAGCTCACTAAGCTGGATCAGCACTTCTCTATGAACAAAAATAGGCTTTTTAAAAAAGATTTTTTTACAGAGTTATTTGGACCTGGCAAAGTAAGAAAAGCACAGGTGTTACTGTGCTTACTCAGACATCTGTTCTATTCAGATGTCCCAGTGTGTTATAACAGTGAGCCAGGAAGCACAATACCAGGACCAGCACTACCATTAATTAAATTATTTATACCTGTGCTTTGCCAGGTGGGATAAGACAACTTGTCCAGTTGCTCGAGTGCACCTCAGTAGTGGTAATGAAGGAGGACAGCTGCTCTTCCACTCGTTCATTCACTCCACCCAGATTGATCCTGCTGGTCCCAGTGTCAAATATACGACCTTTTCAACCTTTAAGCCACCTTTGCAAGATCTAGATGCCCCGTGCTAGCGGCGCTTGTGACAAGCATTCAATAGGTTTTATTGACAAGGTCATCTTTTTGTTTAAATCAAATTGCAGACTATGTCCTTGACAAAAAAATGAGATGGTCTTGAAACTGCATTTTAATCCATTAACTGAACAGAGTTGTTTACATATGCACACACTGAGACACTTGCAGTCACATGGAGGTGCTTTAATATTGTGGATACCTTGTCTTGTAAAGCTGATATTTAACTAGCTAAAAGTACATTACCTGGGTGGACACCATCTGGGGAAACTTGCAGGTTGTGCAAGGAAAGAAAAAACAGCTTAAAAACCTAGCATGTATGCATTAAGTCCCAGTGATCGCAGCAGTATATAATCCTTTTCCTAAGTAAAATCAGTAATACCACAATATAGGAATAAAAATGTTGCATATTCTTAAGCAAAACTGCATAATTATGTCATGTAATATGTACTTAAACTGGCCCTGGTCAGTTTTGTATTGATGTTATTGGATGATATTGTATGAACTAATTATGTGTATAAAACCTTAATTTCAAAGGTAACTAGCAACTCATGTATGAGATAAATATTGTGAAGTATCATGTTTTCCTCTGGAAAGAGAAGCATAATGTAGCACAAAATGGAAACATTTAAGTCCTCGTAACAACAACCCAGAAGTACAGCACTGGAGTAAATGTACTGTTGATAGGGGGGCTGTATATTATGAACCATAAAAATGAAAGTAAATATGGTCATGTGTGCTCTCGTGTCAATCAGTTGCATCCAAAAGGCATCCTAGAGGAGCAGTAACACAACACAAAGAGATCTTGGATAATTTTTAATGTTTATTTTTCTCCACTATTTGACACACCAAGTGCTTCAAGAACAATATTAACATCACAAACATCACAGGATTCCAACACAGCAGTGACTGTTTCCCTGCTGCTAACCCCATGTGTTGGGCGACTTTACGCGTACGTCAATAGAAACTCATCAGATCTTCCCATGGGGCAGGCAGGGGGAAATCAGGAGGGGGGGATGACACACAAGCATCACATAATATCGACACCTTCACACAACTCAATACATTAATTACCGTATGAATTTTAAAGCTAATGTTATACTGAGAACTGACACACAAGATGATTGTTTCGGAATAACTGTGATAAATAGCTCAAAAACAAAAAGATTAGGATGAATTATTAGGAATGACTCCTGGTGTGTGGTGGTTTATTACAGTACAGTGTGTCTCTGCTGGAGCTACAGTTGTCTGAGAGTACAACAAGCACTCCGCGCTTTTGCTCAAAGGGTTGACGCCAGTCCACATTTTCACCATATTTCTTGTCATGTTGCCTCTAAACCAGATGTACTGATGCTATGAATAATCGGTTGGTCCCACTGTCAGTGTGGATGTTAGTATAGCGTTAGCACAGTAAGCCCACATTTTGTTCTTACAGAAGCAAAACACTGACACACATATGCTGATCTGGCCCGCTTTGGGAGCAGTTCAAGATTTATCAAGTGGTGGAGAAAGAGTGAAAGCACCTGGTGTGGAGACAGGCGCACATAAGAAGAGGCATGAAATAAATACTGACTGATTATCTATATTATATCGAATGTTAACAATTTTGCGGCCACTAACTTCCAATCGCCTAGTCCAATAACAGGCTAGACATGAAATGAAACAGTTTTCCACTTCAGTCATAAACTGTCTCCGTTTTGATTTGTTTGACCCAATAGAAAAAGAAAAACAAGCCTGTTCCCTTTAGTACTCTGGTTTCACATTATGTTTTTAAATACACATATCTACTAATGTAATTTTAATAACTCTGATAACATAAAGTACAGTAGACAGCGCAGGCCTGTGATTGATGGAGGAGTGAGGGGGAATAGCAGAGCAGATATAAGACTATAACTAGGCCACAGCTGAATCTGGCAATTTGATGTTTAGTAGGCGTGATTAGCTACGTAGAGGGACTTTCCTGCGGCGCCAGCAGTTCCGGAAGACTCGTACTTTCCGAGCGCAGCCTTGCCGTTTGCCTGGAAAAGGTAGAAGAAACAAAAAAATTCTTATGGTCAACACAGCACGAAGAACGCTTCCATTTTATTTAACTGTGCGAGGATATGTTGGATCCCTTTATGTTTTTATTCTGACCTCAGCACGCTTGATGAACTCCTCGGTGGCGGCCTTCTCGTTGTTCAACTCTCCTCTCCAGGCTTGGAGAGCAGAGGCCTGCAGGGCGCGGCCGTAGGAGAAGGTCAAAGCCCAGGGCTTAAGCAGTGGACAGTTGTTAATGGCATTAAGGTTCACGCTGGCTTCCTCTTCGGACTGGCCACCTGACAAGAATGTCACTCCTGAGAAAAAACAAGAAAACATAAAAGTTATCTACCTGCTCAAACCCGATTTCATGAAACATTTAGGCCATTCAGCGTCACATTTTCAGCACAACATGACAATATATCCTTCCCTTTTCGCAGATTTATAAATTCCTAACAACATTCTGATCATTTGTTATGTAATTTTTTGCTGGTTCAGTTCTAATGCATTAATTACAATTAAATACTAAACAGTCTGTTAGTCTTTCAGTCAGCATAAAGTAGATCAGTAAAACATGCAAAAATGGGAAATTTGGCTATGGATAAAACTATTTCCAATCATGAATTGATGATGAATAAAGACTTATTTATGTTTCACCTAAAATTACATTAATATTTCTAGGAACTTACATGAAAACTAATTTAAAAAAAAACAATGAACCTGTAAATGAAAGTGTTATTTTTTAGGTATGCAGTGTATGTGTAAAAAGGATCAGACTCATTAGTTTCCAAACTTGGTCTAAATAGAACAATTTTCTGATATCTGATAGTCCTTGTCGTGCAAACTGATAGTCAGGATCCCACACAAGGAATTTTCTTTTTGTATCCATCCATGTCTGACCTGTGACAGCTGGAGGCACGGTGCGGCGCAGAGCAGTGACAGTAGCCATGGCGATTTCCTCGCTGCTGTACTTGGTGGGGCAGGAGTGTCCAGCTGTGACCATGTTGGGCTTCAGCAGTGTCCCCTCCAGGTACACATGGTGGTCTGACAGAGACTTGTACACGGCAGCTAGGACCTAGCAGCAGGAGACAGAATAATGTGTGAAAGTCGAAAGACTGTGAGCATTGCTAACAGAACATTCACAGTGGTTGGTGTCATGTAAATTTCTCACTACGTTACCTTCTCGGTGACGTACTGGCAACGCTTCAGGTCATGGTCTCCGTCAGGAAGAATCTCAGGCTCCACAATTGGAACAATACCATTCTAAGAGACATTACAAAGTATGAAGTTAACACAAACTCTTATATTCTTATAGATACACTACATGAATTTGCTGTGAAGCCAGAACCAATCTATGTTGATTAAGTCACTTCATACCAACCTGCTGGCAGATGCTAGCATAACGTGCCAGTACATTAGCATTCTCAAAGATGGCCAGCTCAGATGGTGTGGTCTCGCTGATCTTCAGCACACAACGCCACTTGGCGAAGTCGGCACCGTCTTTCTTGTACTGTGCGCAGCGCTCAGACAGTCCATCAAGACCTACACACCAACACATACACAGACACATCCATCAGAAATAAAGCTGGGCTTTTGTTTGAGGTTTTCAGGGTGTGTGTTCCTGCTGCTTCCTACCCTGAGTGGTGGTTTCTCCATTTGTTCCAGCCAGGGGCACAACACCTTTGTCCACCTAGAAAGAGAGAAACATGGACATTTAGGATACCAAATCCTATTGAATTTTACTGTGCATAATATTCCCAAGCATATGACCCGAGAGCTCTTTGGCCCAGTTTGTCGTCACAATCTGACCTGCTGTTATGGGTTGGTCTGCATGTATCTACAGTAAACATGCTGACAGAGAGTCAGTGTTTTCAAATACTTTTCAGTTTTACCTGCCAAACAAAAGACAGGCGTCTCTTTTTGCCTGTTGACCTGGAATACTGGGTTGTAATCTAATACCAACACTGGAGCTCTGAGGACATTCACAGCCAAACAAAAGAAAAGCTTTTATGTTTCAGGATACCAAGGTAGAGCATGACGACCCATATAAACAAGTCGATAGCCGAGACCACATAATGTTGCTATTGTAGAAAGAGAGCAAGAAAACACAAGCATTTCTACCAAATACAGATGAAGTGGCTCTTTTAAACTTACATGAAACCCAGCTGAACAGATTTAAATCCGACTTTAGTGGTAAAATGCAACACTGAGCAACAAGTACCTTGATGCCGACAACAATGCCGCGGTCTTTGATGAGCTTGGCAAAAGAAGTGCCATCGTCTGTGTTCTGGTAGAGGGTTTCATGGAAGAAGATGACCCCTCCGATACAGTTGTCGATGCGCTGGTCCGCTGTGAAGAGCAGCTGGCGATAGCGACGCCTGTTCTCCTCTGTGTTCTCAACCCCAATGGGGTTCAGACGTTTCGCCATGCTGCCTGAAGTCGACACACATATTTATTATCACACTGATTCAAATTAAGAATAATTTTATTCACGCATACATAACTGTACTGTTGTGGTTAAACTCAGGCTTAGATATTTCTGCAAATTACTACGCAATTAATTCTTACCAGCTGAGGAGTAAAACTATTCAGCAAAGCAGACATAAACTGAGTTTAAAACACTTACTCCTATCAGTAGACGGAGATGTCTTAAGTATGAGATTTAAACAATTATTTTATCTGCTGCTTTTTTGATAATTGATTTTTTTGATAATTGATTAATAACGGGAGCTATTCTCTGGTTGCAGTGTCTTCAGTTGGAGGATTAGCTGCTTTCCTAATCCTTTTCATTTTTGTATCAACCCAACGTCTTTGGGTTTTAACACAACACAAGAAGACATTATCTTGGACTGCATCCTGTAGCCTGAAGATGATTTCTCCAACACAAAGTTGCAATATGTACAGTGCAAGAAACAAACTGTCCAGTAGAAGGAAGTAGCTGTATGCCCATGATACAATACACTGGGCAACATATGTTGCATATTCAACATACACCATTTTATTTTGGTTTTTAAGCTAACACTGAAACTCATGAAGTCAACACACATGACACAAACACATACCGGTGGACTCATCGGCTGCGAGGATGCCCTTTCCTGGAGCGACTATCCTCTGAGCGATTTCCTGGAGCTCCTTTTTCTGCTCAGTAGTCAGTGCTGGATACTGGTGAGTCATGGTGGCTGAAAGAGAGAGAGAGAGGGTCATTGTTTCACCTTGAGTTGACTTGGATGACTGCCCAGCACTGGCCCCCGTTAATGTCCCTCTTTTGTCTACAACATGGCTGCTTCCTTGAACGCTGCGCTCCTCTCAGTGATGGTTGGAGGATGGGCGAAAAGGACAAAACTCCTACATGATAGCAGCTAAATTCACACAGTCCAGTTACACAGCATGTGTGTGAGATGTGATAAAAGCAAGGACTGTGAGCACAAGGCTTGGCTTCCTGCTTCCTGGGGGAAAAGGAGTCTGAAAAAAAAAACCTGCTGCATACTTCATGTTCAGTAAAATAGATCTTTGTTTGACTGTTCTGTAGAACCAAGTAAACCTTCCTCACGGACATTTATACCATTTAGGGTTTGTATATGACTGTGTTGACTCAAATGAAACACATCTCTATAATAGGTTGTCTGGTCTCAGTCATACAGAAACCGTTTGGAGGCAGCAGCCTTGCTGTCACAACGTGCTAACATGTACGCACAAGCTCCAAACCAGATTATTACGTTCTCCCTCTATTCCCTTCCTCACTCTGCCGTAAATAAGCAGTTACATAACCTCTCCCCTCCCCTCTCCATCCCATCTGAAGCACAGAAGACAGAGCGGCACATTATGCAACATTGCTCCTATAGACTCTGCTGCCAGTCCTCATTATAGCTGCAAGGACTGGATGCAGCACGGCTCGTTTCCCTCTCCTCAGCAACACTTTGGCTTCTCCTATTTTCCTCTAATGTCATTACATCCCTCTTTGTGAATTGCACATATGCATGCCTTTTATTTCTCTGAACTGATTAAAACATGATTTGTTTCCAAATTTTATCACCCAATCTAGTGTAGTGCTGCTGCCTTGTGACTACCGATTGTATCTAATCAATACGTGTAGAATGAACACAAACAAGATTCGTAAATTCCCATTATCACACATCCCTAAAACGCATCACTCCCACTAATGCAGAATGTTCCTGGGAACAAGCTGTGACTTGTCGTTCTGGTCGACTGCACCGGTTACCGAGCCACTCCCAGCGACCAACGTCACAGATTGTGGCTTTGTTCACTAAAATCTCACAAGTGGACTGGTATGTGGCACAATAATGGAAGAGACTATTGACGAATCAGTTTAATGGGTGGGAGCTACAAGGTCGGGTTAGCTTCAGGTAGCTGCATGGACGTGCATGCTGCACTGAGTTTTGTTGCACTGCCAGAAAAAAAAGACCTGGACACAAATATATTTACTATAAATGTTCAACCATACATTATTGTGCAAGATTCGCTTGGACTAATCAGATTCTAAACTACAACCTACAATAGTTTTTATCATGAAGAGCACACCGAAAGTGTAATGCAAAACAAAAACATGTTAATAGAGAGTATACTATAGCTCAGTAATATAAACTGAATTCCTAGCAGAGACTGGTTAGCTGTGGTAGGACACTGCCTGGCATAACCTGTATCCTCTGTGGTAATCCTCAGCTTAAAGCTATGAGATAACCTTTAGAGCACACACAGGCCTCTCAGTGAAAACAGTGTGAAGTTACCACAACAGAAAGGCTAGGCACGGCTCACTGCTCCTAGTTACATCTTTCATTCAGGTGAAATAAAATAATTTACTACAGCCTATAATAATTAGTACCAGTATTAATTTGAACAGCAGTACAAACTGCATGACGACACATCCAGTGAATAAAAGAAAGTATTTAAACTTGATAAAGGCCAAGCCAAGGGCACAGGAACGATGTGTGGGATTTCAGCATGTTTGTGTGTGCTCAATTCTGCTCCACTGTTTGCCAGTCAAAAATCATGCTCAGCAAATACCTGCTATCTTTTGTGAGCAGCTGCGTGCCTCAACAATACACTTACACTGACTTTGGTTCCAATGTGATTGGGTTTCTGCCGAGGAAACATTGCAAAATAATTTGCTAGGCAATGTGAAATCTTCATTTTGCAATGTGAAATGTAATTTTTGCACAACAATTACTCCAACACAATGGGAAGTTGGCAAATATGTGAACTTTCGTTTTTTCAAGAAGTCACTTTTCAGTTGAAAATGGAGCTCAAGAACAGAACATAACCTTGAAGGACAATGTCATACAGTGTGTCCCTCCTCTGACATGTGATCAGCCTGAGGTGGGTTTGGTGGCAACAACACACTTTTCAAAGTTTGTGATTACATTACTGCAGGCAAAAATTTTAATGTATTTTTTAAAGTTATCAACTGTGCTGTGTAAGGTTTTGTGCACAGTGTCTCAGAGTGAAAGAACACAAGCTGCTTTTTTGTTAAATTCACTATGGCAGATGTGACCCTGTCTTTGTCCTTCTTTATCCTCACACTGTAGCACTGATACTGTGCAAGACTTCACAGGTAGAAGAGATGTTGTTTTTGGATGAAGGTCTAGTAGCTGTGCATTATGGCACATTAGCTGGAACTTCTAGTAGCACAAGGGACAGCACAGTTTGTTGCTGCTGTTTTTCTGACAGCAGTTGCTTATGGAAATGACTAAAAGCATAAATACTATGTGAGATGAGCTAACTGGGGTTTTCTTACTGTGAACATCAAATGTATTCCACAACTTTGTCTCCTTGGTCTATCCTTTGAAAAAATCCACCCAGTGCCATCCATCCAAGAACATATTTCAGTTCCTATGTGGAATTCATTCTCTGTTTCTCCAAATCCAAAATGACACACAAATCAAATAGTGCGTTCCCCTGATGGACTGCATTTTGAGAAGGTTGTGGATGAACTGTTTTAGTTGAAATGCCAGTCAGATGTGCGTACTTTCGGGCCTGGCGTGCATTACAGCTGTACTGAGTAATTTAGTAATACTGAGCATTCATGGGGCTAAAACCTGAATATTGCAAAAGTGATCTTGGCAGAGGACAACTCCGTGTCAGTGAATGTCAGACTTCCTGGCCAGAACAGATGCTGTAGATACTGACATTAGTGTTTTCTATTTCAGTATCTGCCCCTCAAGTGTCTCCAGGAAACGCTCTGTATCCATGGGGGAACACTGAGAACAAAAACAAGATGGAGTTCTACTTCGTGCTTCACACTGAACTATGATGGGCTGCAGGCTGTTAGCACCACAGATGTGACAGAACAGAAATAAGGGAGTCTGTCTCACTAAGCTTGGCGTGTTAGCAGGAACACACATCAACGATCTAATCAGGTGAACAAAGAAGGGTTTTACTTAAGACTGTCTGGCAAGCTTCTGTCGGTGATTGACTAATTGATTTATTGGAAAATCAAGCAGTCATGCTACACTACACAGAAGAGGCCACAGATGTACTGAGTGAGGAGACTGTGTACACCTTAACTTAGTAAGTGCACTGATAATGTGATGATGTGTTTCAGCAGCACCAACCCCCTCAGCTTACCAATCTCCAGGAGATAACCCTGAAGCCAAGGGCATTTTGTATTTTGATACTGCCCAATGCAAACTATACATCTGAGCAAAAATAAAAAAACATAATGCTTTGATTACAAAGTTTTTAAAAATGTAAAGACACTACAGTACAATTACTGCTGCAGATTAACATGTTTTTAGGTGAAGTAAAATTGTGTCTTCATGGTGGTAAACAATCTTTAATCTGTTGTATTTTATCACATTAGACAATATGATAGAAGTGTCTAATCTTCTAAATATCATTCTGGTAGCTTACTGATCTCATAAGATGTTGGTTGACACTCTTTCAGAAGGTGCATCAGCTGTGCAAATGCTTGAATGAAAGTTTGAAGAACCATCTTTCTGATTGGCAAAAAACACACACTGTTGCAAAAATGTTGCTTTGACATGATTGGAAGTGGCAACTTTCTGATGTCATTACCTCAGAGGTTAGATGTGAAGAAGGACATGACTGCATGATTTGACAAATACAGCTTTGTAATTGACTTCATAAAGACAGGCATTATGTTTTTGGGTTGGCTATTAAAAGAGCTATTTTAGAATTGTTTCCACTAAAATTAGACCGTCTACACAGGACTAAAGTTGACAAATTTGAGAGAGACATGACCGAGAGAAGGCTAAAATTATTCAGCAGCCATCTTGAAGTTTCTCTCCATCACATCTCACTGTGATTTTCACTCCAGCCTGTTGCACAGTGGTCACCTCATAAGGAAAAAAAGCACCATTTCTGCACTGCGCCATCAGGCTGTAACAGCCAACTCCCCAATGCATGACGCAGAACCACTTACAATTTGGCAAGACATGCAAGACCGATGACTGTATTTTAATGTACTTAAAGTGCTGTAATTGTGTATCTGTGAAATGCAGCCCAGATTGATCACAGTAATCCGACTTAATGACATGCATCAAATGGAAAAAAAGATGGAATTAATGTTTGAATTCACATTTCTACCATTCAGATGCAACACTGTGACGCTAACTGGTTAAATTAAAACGGAACTGAGACAAAACTAAAGAACAAACCACTACATCCATTTCTTGTCTGAAACTCTGCTATCACTTGTGTAATGCTTCTATCTTTCACCTTAAACAGAACCAATCGAGGAGTAAGAGATCACAAATACATAAACAAAGTTACATTAAAAAAACAAAAAACAAAACAGTATCTACATCTATAGCAATCATGCTGCAGCTGGTATTTTTTAAAGCATTGCTGCAAGCATTAAACTACAATATATCTAAGCTTGCACACTATTTTGCCTAGTATTTATAAGGCTGCAGGCAGGGACTGAGTGGGGTAAACTCAGTTTATCTACCTAGACTCAGGCTGGCATTGCACTTAGAACATTTACTGATTGTTGAAATTACAGTAATAAGCATGTAGGGAGAGGATGGATATATTTTCCATCGCCTTGTCTGCATCATTATCACTACCTGAGGGTTTAGCTGTCTTCATGTTTGTTTTTCTACATTGCAAGCTGCATGAGCTTTAAGGAGGTGAAATGGCTCCTGCCGGGCAGCACTAGTCAAAAAGTAAAAAGCCTGCTTGCTGTGCTGCGTTTTTGTTACCAGATGGGCTGCTGGCCTTGACACTGTTGCACGTCTCTGTTTTTGGGCTGCTTCTATCTTCAGGCCTCGATCCAGCAGCGCTAGCAGGAGCACTGTTACCCATGCAGCTCAATGACTCAGGACCCTATAGTAGACGTCAAGGCTGCGCGTGTGTTGCAGTTCAAAGAAAGGTTGACACTCGTGAAAACGTGCAGGTTTACACTACAGCTACAGTTCCATTTTGAGAACTTGTAAAAAAAAACCTTCAATTGGGAGGACAATTTGAATATATGTTCTGTTGCAGTTTGAGAAGGGAGACATTGGATTAGGGTAAAAGGTGAAAAAATAATAATTTCATTGCAATCTCTTGTAGGGTTTACAATGAATAACTAAAAAAATGAAATCTTATGTACTCGATGTTCTGCCGTTATGCTGTTTAGATGTCATCTGACTGCTGACATTCTGTTTCATACATAAAGCTCAGTTTGAGAGCTGAAATGAATAGAGAATTAATCATCAACAACTGAGGTAATTGATGAATGGTTTAGATTTGCACTGCTGGTCAACAAGCAACAACCAATCTGAACATTTTGTCTTCATATCTGGGCAACTGTGATGGGTATTTATTACTTTAAAAGACATTTTGTACAGAATGAATGAAAGAATAAATAAATAAATCAATTTATTCACTTACACAGTACACTGTTACTTAGGGCTGCAACTAACCATTATTTTTATCATTAATAACGTTGCAGATTATTTTCTCATATAACCTTTTCATTTTGGTATGTAAATGCCAGAATTTAGCCAAAAATGTTGTTCGCATTTTCTCAATGCCCAAGCTGCTGTACTGAAAATGCTTGTTTTATTCAGCTTTAGTTTTTTTCCAGTAGGAAAAGGCCAATATATAGTATATTGGAAGACTATGAAACAGAGCAAACAGTCACACAAAAGAGGATGAAACTAAGGAATTTTCGTAATTTTGCTTTAACATGACTTGAACTTGATATATTTCTATTGATTTTCTGTCGACTGATGGATTCACCACGTCAGATTTACAAAACAGTAAATTAAATTAAAATGTACATATACCACGTGTCTTTTTTCTAAAATGAACCCTGGCTGTACGGATGCACTGATGTGTGAAGCATTTTTTCCCATATACTGCACATGATCTTATTACACGGTGTCCCCTCAGTCAGCCCCGCCTCCAGTAACATCAGAGGTCTACGTGCTGAAGCACAGATACACCCTGGGAGGACGTGAGCTCACCACCGCCCTCCCTCATCACCCAACACGGCTGCTATGTATCACCCCAAATTCGCACAAATTCAGCGCGTGTAATGAAACGGGGAGCGTCGTTGTGAACTAGAATAAGACGCAACAGGCTCCTCTCCTCCACTCCCATCCTTGAAGGTCATCGTTTCCTTTTTATTGCGCTCTTCCTGTTACGTATTTCAACGAAAAGCAGAAATGCGCAACTTTGAGAAGAAATTTGACAAAGTTCGGATATTTTAACGGTTTTCTGTCGAAATAAACAGCAGAATAAGTGACACAAACGGTAGCTGTTACTTTTTGGCTAACTAGCTAGGAAGATAGCTCAAGGCTGTGTGGACGAGCATCACATCCGCATCACCATTAACAGTACTAGAATCACCATTTGTGTGATCAATAACACAGAAAGAGTGAGTGTAGCTGTCGTACAGGTGAGTTGAAAGGCTGGTTCTTACCTGCTGATGGATGTCTGAGCGGGCAGAGAACAGGTGAGCAGTGTGCGAAGGGATGCGGTGCGGTCTCCTGTTTCACTGCTGCAGCGCAACGTGACCCTTTACAAAAGCCTCCAGAAGGTGGGCGGAGCCAAAACTGCGTCATGTGACGGAGAGACGCTCGGTGGCTAACACGCGTGCGCCGCACAGCATCGTGCACACACGCACGTCGTGCAATCGCACATGCAGCATGATTCTGCATCTTTTTTTTCTTTTATTACACAATTGTTGCTTGTTAGAAGTTTTGTCATAAAACAAACAGCAACATCATGATACTAAATAAATCAAACAGCCTCCAATGTGCTTTATAGGTGTGGCATTTTTTTGTGAAAGATGTCAGAGCTCCCAATTACAGAAACCCTCTACAACTACTAGCTTCATAAGCAGCAGTGGTGCTTAACTGGTGAATAAAATCTCAAAATATAAAACAAATTAAAGCTGCAAGCAGCGTTGGACGGGCCCTCACAGTTCCACGCGTGTCAGACGTGGTGAACATCGACAGAAATATGTTCCATGCAAAGTGACAATCACCTAATGGCAAATACAAGTGTAAAACGTGTCCTTTCCTGTTGCCAAAAGGATACGCTGTAGCTGTGAATGGGTAATGATATGAGACTGTCATCAGGGCAGGCCTCTGATCCAGCATGTAAAGTTTGAGGAAGAGGGCAAGGAGACAACACTTGCTCTTTCATGGTGAAGCATCAAAGTTCAGAGGGCCACCACGGACACACCGTGAGATGAAAACTCACAATTTTTGGAATGAGTCATCATCAAGGTCTAAAGGCTCACGTCACTACATTTGAGGTTAATACGGTCAACCTGCTAATTATAGCACATAAAAGTGTAAAACGTGCTCTTTCCTATTGCCAGCAGGTGGCGCTATGACAGTGAATGGATATTGGCATACGGGTTTCATCAGAGCAGGACTGTGATGAAGTTTGTAAAGTTTGAGGCAGATTGGAGCATGTACAGGGTTGGTAGACATGCTTCCTTTTTGATGGCGAATCATCACAATTCAGAGGGCTGCCATTGCCACGCCCTGTGATTTTTGCGGCGTGTTTCCACAACTTTTAATCACCAAGCCCTGTTGTATGTGCTGGCCAAATCTGAGGCGTGTATGCGTTAACCCCTAGGAGGAGATAGATTTTGAAAATGGCAAAAATCACAAAAAAAAATTGCACAGTTATTTCAAAATGGCAGACCTCCTGTTGAGTTTACAGTATGGATCCAAGAGGCTTTTTTGTGCATCCTGATGTGTTACATATGCCTCCCAAATTTTATAGATGTTGGTTAAACGTACTGTTGTAGGGGGCACTATAGAGCCATTTTGCCAAACAGGCACACAATGTCTGGTGTTGAGGTGATAGTGACTCATATGTCAGTTTTGGTGAGTTTTTGAGCATTCCAAAGCTGTCAAAAAGTCCTTTCCGTGTCATAGCAACTATGCGTCGCCATGGCAACACAGTTGCTTGAAAACGCAAAACCTTCACACTGTAGCATCGTCAACGTGGGATGAGCTAGCTGACCAATTTTAAGAATGATATCACAAAGTTTGGAGCAATGGTGTAATGGTCAAACTTCCTGTTACCAATAGGTGGCGCTATGACTATGAATCAATTTTACAGTGTGGATGTCTTCAGATATGGACTCTTGTCAATCCTATTTAATTTGGGCCAGAACCCATCATGTGCAGCTGAGATGTATACATTTGAGTTGTCATGGCGACACATTAAAATTGGCTGTCACAGACAGGCCATTTGACGGAAACACACAAGTATGTCCAGGGTAGGTAGACAGCACTTCCTTTATCACGGCGAATCATCAAACTTCAGGGGACCGTCATGGCTACGCCCTTTATTTTTGCGGAAGATTTTGATAACTTTTCATCATTAAGGCCTTTTGTATGCACAGGCCAAAATTTAGGTGTCTTGGAGTTATCCCCTATGAGGAGATAGCTATTGAATATGATGAAAAATAAGCAAAAATCTCACAAGCAAATCAAAATGGCGGACTTCCTGTTGGGTTTACAGCATGGTGTGCACAGACTTTTTTGTGCACCCTGATGTGCTACACATGCCTACAAAATTTTGTAGATGTAGGTGAAATGCTCTGCTCAGTTCTGATGTGTGTGCAAATTTGCTAGAGTTTTTGAACATGTTTAAGCCCTCCAAAATGCATTTGTTTTGTCGGGAGAAGAATAATAATTCCTTGCATCACAATAGGGTCCTACGCACTGTAGTGCTCGGGCCCTAACAGAAGTATGACAGTGACTGATAATGTTTACTAACAAGGTTTACTGAGACACAATGGCCCTGCAGGATGGAATCTGGGGACTGGCTTTAGTTGACCATGCCCACATACCTTGATTTTAGTAATGGCCTGTTTTCTTGTCCTCTTATGGGAGTCTGCTGGCCATCTAAAGTCAATGATTTTGCATTATTGCAATTAGACCATATCAAATCAAGATTATTCATACGTTGACTTCAGTATATGATACTGCGCAGGCAAAAACAAAACTATGTGCAAAAAGAAAAAAAAAAAACAGGCAGAAAACGGGACACAAACTTTTAAATTTAATTTGGGAAGCGAAATAAAACATAAAATATTGAAAACAGGCTGACAACTTGTACGATCAAATTCTTAATATAATAAATGCAAAATACTTAAGTATTAAGACCACTTAAAGCAATTAGAAGCCAAAAACATGTAGGATGAGGTGGATGAGGAAACCATCCAAAGTGAAGCAGTTAAAACAAAGGAACACTCTCTCTTACCCACTAGACTGGATTGAATTGATGTTTTCTATGTATCTGTATTTTGGAGAAAAGCATGAAGCTTTGTTTAAAGATGATACCAAATACTGACTTTAGAGAATCAACCCTATAACAGATATTTTTAAACAACCATCTGTACTTCTTGGAAAAATGAATCACACCCTTCAACTACAGAAAGACAAGTGACAAATACTGGATGAATTAGGATTTTACTGTCAGGAAGAAACACATCCTGTCTCTCATGTTCTTAAGTAAATGTAAAATCATATACAATAAACATGTATTTAGGAAAATTTGTGAAATACAATTGCTATAGATCTACCGTAGTAATTTGTTTTGCTCAACATACTGTCAGTTGTGGAAGAAACATTCAGATCCTTTACTTAAGTAAAAGTGACAATCACTTAAAATGGTCTATTTCAAGGAAAACCTCTTCATTTATGATTTTTCTTTAAAGCTGACTTAACTAATAATGTTACAGGTGGGTAGTTTAGTGTACTCGAAACCTATGCATCCTATTTTATATGCTCATTTTAGGATTTTACTATATTCATCTATAAGCAAGTGGTATAAATAACGAGTAACTACGTCAGGGAAATGAATAGAGTAGACCAAAAACTGCAATATACGGTGTCATAAAGTAGAAACCTTCACCTAAAGTAAAAGTACCTCAAACACACACTCTTAAGCAAATGTCTGGATTGGTTACACAATTTGATTTCTTAACTCAGCATTGGCATGCTATGTTTCTGAAGAAACAATGTGGCACAGTAGACAGAAAAAGTGAGGCAATGATGATTTTTTGTTCAATTCCTGATAAACTGAATACTGTGTTGGTACTGCTTCGTATTGACTTTTGTTCTTCAAGCCAGTCGGACACAGACAAAAAAAAATCAGAAGAATCTTGTACAGTAAGAGTTTTAATATTCCATCTGTGCTACATGGAAATTACAAAAATACATCATAACATGACATATAACATCAAATAGCATCCAAAATAGTCATATAAACCTTATAAAGAGGAATATATACATAAGCATTTTGTGACCAAAAAAAAAAGCAAGCTCAGGATCACACATGTGAGGCATTCTGGGTACACATCAGGGCATACTTTACAAAAATCATTATATAATCTGGTGATCAGTGCATGGGGGCGAGATTACTTAATAAGGTTAGGGCAGCCTTGGACAATAGAAAAAAAGCCCTGTATCTATCAAAACTGGAGGTAAACAATTTTGTTGTTCATTTAACTCTCAGTCCCGGCTCAGTTCTGTCGAGCCAGGCGCCATCTTGGAGTCAAAATCAAGGCTGCATGGGAAAACCAGCGAGCGCTCCCCTGAGTCACAGGTTATAAATGATAAAATGAAATGAGACACTGATGGCATACACATCTGAATCTGATGTTGTGATACTTGCTTGAGTTTAATAAAGTACAGGAGGAGAGACGTTTCTGCTGCTATGGATTTTAAGCAGCTGAGCAAGCATGGGAAAGGTTGTATCACAGCATGAATAAAGGTACACAGTAAGTGTTAAAGTAAAAACAACATTAAATGAGGCAAAGTTCTTCTTTCGTCCACTTCTGCCAGAATGGGTTCATAATCATGCAACATGAGAAAAGGCAGAAGTTCAGAAATTGACTCACTTTGCTGAAGGGTTTGGTTAGATTCCTACTGAGACACAAATACCTAGTTGAAACAAAAAGATAAAGAAATACCGTGTATTGTGATCAACTTGCATGACTTTTCCAAGTGGGGTGAATGTGATAGGATTTATGCACTATGTATAAACAGGGCAGCCATGAGAAAATTGACAGTGGATGAACAATAGTGCAATCTTTCTTGCACAACTGTTGAGCAAATAGGCTTGAAAAGGTGCTCAATGAAGAAAGGCAAACAAGTAAAAGAAACAACGATGTCCAGTACATCACAAAAAAGCATAAAACTCACTAAAACATGTGAGGAAAAAGGTGTTTGTTTGTTTTTTTTACTCAAATGCATGATTCCCTTCTCAGCTGTAATAAAATCAGCTATTTTGGCTTTTGCTAAATAAGACATTTTACAAGGCGCACCACACCTGTGTGTAAGGGTGAATAACTGTGCAGAAGTACATACATGTAGGCTTTCACCTTAAGTGTGTTAGTAACCGTACGGTAAACTCAAAGTCCGTCACACAAACACTTCTCTGCGTGGACCTTTTTCCTGAGCAGGCTGCAGTGCGAGCGCTGGGCCGGGCAGAGGTACAGCGCTGTGGGTGTGTGTGCCGGGATCCAGCTGTGTGTCCGGCGTGGCGGGAGGGCTGAGGAGCAAGTCGTAGTCGAAGCCTTTGAGAGGCTGCAGAGACAAAGTGAGGCCTCGTCGAGCTTTGGCAGCTCGGTCTGGTCTCTCTCTCAGCTCCAGAATCACCTGGACAGTGAGGAAAAGTCACTTCGCTTGCACTTTTGCTGACACATTTCTAACACACTGTTGCTCATGTTTGAATTTAGCCTAGAAACAACCAAACTGACGACATCCGGTTACCTCAACAGGCTGGCGCTGAAGCAGGTCGAGGTCAAAAGTTGTTCCATGGAAGAAGGTTTGCCGTTGGAAACGATCGAGAGTCCTCAGGCGGCGGCAGGGAGTCTTGCACAAAAGCTTGACAGATCAACATGTTTAGGTTATGATACGAAATTAAATGATCTAAACTGATTTTTGTAAATGTAGTCAAATAGTCCAAGCGATATGATTAGACGTAGGAATTACCTCAGTTATTAGCAAGGCAAATGGGGAACTGAAACTGAGGGGCATTTCATAAGGAAAGCTCCTCACTCTCCTCAGCATACTGCAATGGTCTGGTTCTGGAGGCACAGGGAACTGAAGACAATTGGAGATACATGAAGAGGAATAATTCAGGGTTTCTCATCTATCAGGAGTTTGACAGATTATTTACAATTTTGCATGGCAAAGCATCAACACTTCACATTTTCAAGCTCAGTTGTGTCACTGAAGGACTAATCGTGACTTACATCTGCTGATCACGCAGGACACACTGTGTCTACTAGCAACAGAGAGCTCACCTTCCCAGTAACCAATGAGAAAAGCAGAATTCCCAGCGACCACCAATCAGCTGCATGGTTGTAGGGTCCACCACTCAGCACCTCTGGGGCTGCAGAGCACACAGAGAGAGTGCACACTCACATAACACGCTTCATATTTTTGCATTCACTACCTTGTATAATTAATTGAAAATGCTCAATATGTTCATGTTTATTTTTACATCCCACATCTGCAGCGTTAGCAGGATGAGCTACAGAGGAAGATGAGGGGGGTGATTTTCTCACCCATGTATTGGATGGTTCCACAAATAGTAAAGGCTCGTCCTCCTCTCTCCAGGCGACGGGACAAACCAAAGTCAGCTAAACGGAGGTGTCCTGGAAAAGACCATGTTCTCTACATTATTATAAGAATGAGGCTCTAAATTCAGATTATTTTTACTGATGCATTTACAACAAATGTAAAATCTTAAAATGTTGCCATTCTAATGTTCCTTTTTCTTGCTAACAGATGTACTGTTTACATTAATCTATATTATTGTGCATATCATGGATGTTCTCTGTGCTTCTCCTGTATATAAGAGCTATGCTGCTCTCTGCTGGGGATGGCATTTTTTACTTACCGTTGTCTGTTAGCAGGATGTTTTCCATCTACAAAAAAGTGTCAAATAGACTGAATGAGATTCCATTCTTGCATATTAACATACTAAATTTAAAAAAAAAAAAAAAAAAGAAAGATTTTCTTGAGCCTTGAGCCTTCACATTATGATGATTAAATTGCAAATTAATTCTTATCTCACACCACAAGTCTGTCCAAAAAAAAGTAGGTAAACAATAAAACTGCAGCTTTTAAGAGCAGTGTTTTACACAAAAACAAATATTTCACAGACAAACAGACAGCTTTTTCCTCTGAACTGTGGACTTCATCATCCTCCCCCAGACTGAGCATCACTCAAGAACTGCTACACAAATGTTAAACACCTGCAAGGGCGTTTTTTTGTTGTTGTTGTCAAATACATACTCTACCTCCACTTTTACCACACATACAGGCATCTTATTATCAGGTACATGCACATTGCCACTGTCATCGCTATAATATCTGTGCTTTTATTTAATGATTGTAATCTGTACAGAATGGGTCTTTTATAGCAACACTTAGTGCCCTTTTTATTACCATCACTTTATCCACCTGATTTACTGTTTTATGGCCTATTTTACAGTGTACTGTTTGTCTTTTGCTTCATGGTCTCTGCACAAGAAGAGATGCAATCACAATCATATAATCACAACAAAGCGCTCTATCTTAACAGCACCGGTAACGATACATTTCAATAAGCTTCTACTTCAATTAAATATAAATGCAGCAAGCAGTTTTTAAAATTTTATGTGTTGCACACGATATCACATTGAGGGACTGACTAACATCTGGGAATTATTACATCTACTCTCATCATTGTGGAAAATATCTAAGTCATGGAGTATGTAGCTTGTGAAGGTTTACATATAGAATATTGTTTCGTAAGAAAAAAAATACAAAAAGGCTTTAAATGGTGCTTTGTTGGCTGTTCATTTATGATACATGTAAGTAGGGCAGTTAGCAGGAGGAAGCTTTGGGGGTGAGAAAAAAGACCCTTGATAGGGATAAACATTAGATTTGTAGAATTTATTTCTATTTATTGGAACACTGGAAGATATCTTATTTTTTGTAGTAAAACTAGCTGTAAAATATAAGTAAGTTTCTAAGTAAGTACTACAATTACCTATATTCTTTTAAATACAAACTGAGCTTTTATATACATGCTATGCATTAAAATAAACTGCATAAACTTGTGAATATCCCTTCCATTCTTACCTTCACATCTCTGTGAATGACGCCAAAATCATGCAGAAATCCTGCAAAAGAACAAAAACAAAAACAAAAAACTCAACCAGAAAACTAAACAAGTTTTAAATCCATGTCTCCCTACTGACATACTTAAACTCTAGCACTGCTTTGTTGCTGTGGGACATCCTCTGAGAGCTGATCTCATTTTAATTAGACCTCGTGTCGCAATTACTTACAATTAAGTAACTAAGGAAACATTCATGATGACACTTTGATTTAATTAAGAGATCGGAGGAGAAAGGTGAGGTTCACAAGATGTATATAGGTTCATATCCTTGGTTTTATTAGTGTTATGTAGCATACACACCGAGCGCAGATCCCAACTCGGCTGCAAAAACTCGTACTGTCCCCTCTGTGAACTGACCAATCATCTGCCAGTAGGTGTACAGGTCTCCGGTGCTGCAGTAGTCGCACACTGTGGGAGCGGAAACAGCATTAAAACATGCATGTGTAATGCCACGCAAGAAGTGAGAGGTAGGGAAGGTCAGCGGGAGGTGGAACACACACTGGTGAAAGAAACTGGGAAAGAGAAGTGTCGTTTGGATATGAGAAGAGTGTAAAGCTATCTTCCACTTCAAACCAATTTGCAGCAATCTGTTTTGAGCCTTGCTGCAAAGTACATGGTGTAGAGAAACAGAGATATAAAGTGGGTTAGGTGCAGATTTGAAAAGGCGTGTGCGTCTGGAATATGAATCAGCACTGTCCAGTTGGGGATACCAATGTTTCCGATCACTATTTAAGGCAACACAAGATGAAAATGTTTAGCAGCACTTAGGGAGATTTGTTTATAGAAACCTCCATCATGGCAAAATAGTTTAGGTCTGTAGAGAGCTTACGAGAATCTCCCCAAAGAGCAGCAGCACAGCAAAGGCTCTCAGCTTTAAATAGCTGTGATTTCCATATCCTCTATATTTATGGCTTAAAAGACGTGATTCAGTGATGATTCACAGTTTGAGCAAGGAGCGGTGTCCTCTCTTTTGAATGTTGACATGTATCCCTGTTGAGATGCAGCAGCGTTCAACATCTGGTCTCCGGGCTAACACGCTCTCTTTTCACAGGGGGTGGGGAAGCAAACAAAGTGGGTCACACTTTCTGAGTCAGTGGCTAATTTGGAAAAAAGGGTAAATGCTCCGGAGGAGAGGGAAAGCGGGCAGAGCAGCTACACGATGCAGAGGGAGTGGTGGGTTGGGGGTTTGACGGGTTTGTAAAGTCTGTGTCTCGAGGTGGTGAACAAGCACAAACACCTAGATTAAAAGACTTGATGAGAAGCTGGTTAGCTTTTCTTCATTTCGTTTTAGGTGTTGGGTCGGGGATTGTGGGTAGATCGATGCTACCGGTGCTGAGGTGAGAAGAGGTGGAGTGAAGGGGTTTTGGACAGTGGATCTGGGTTGGATTGGGTCTCTGGCTGACTCACTAATGTAGAGGTGGCGCTGTGTCTGCCAGCAGTCCTGGAGGTCATGGACAAATGGGTGATGGACCTGACGCTGTGGGCAAAGGTCAAAGGTCAACCTGAAAAAAAAGCTTAATTCTGGCCATCGATAAAGAGAGGGCCTTATTTTCATTCCTCCTTCTAGTTTTCTGGGAGATGGTTTTAGTCAGAACTTTAAGTGCTGTTGGTGAAATTTAAAGACTCTGGATAGACAGGAAATAAACATATTTAAATACTTTATCACCTCTTTAGACCAATTACATTGTGTCAGTCACACTGTAGCTTGAATATGTTCGATCAACATTTACACAATTAATAAATCAGATATGTACAACAGCACATCATCTGCATAAAGAGATATTTTATGCTATTTTTCTTTTTAACATTTGAGGTGGATCTTGCAATACCATCGCATCAAAAAATTATGAACACATCTGCAATAAGGTTTCCCTAACTATGTAAAATATTGATTATTGCATGAAGTGTCCCATAGAAAACAGAACGGTATGTTGAAGAATTTAGGTGTTCTGATTTCTCAAGCTTAATTCTTTCCAATGTATTAATGTCTAAAAACTTTCCACCCTTTTTAAAATCTACAAACTCATGATGATGTCCATGTCAGTACCCACCTGGACTATGACTTCTTCTTTTGACTGCTCCAATACTCCGAGTCTAAGAATCTCTGATTTGGGTATAACCTGTTGACAGACATAAATGCTGAGATGAAGTCACACTGGATTGTAATGATTTCTGACATGAACAACACTACTTTGGACACAGTTTTAGTTTGCTGCAACAATCATATTGGTGTATATGTAAAAAGCCTCAATGACTGCTGTTTAACGTTCATGCCCTGACTGGTTCCTTTTTTTTTTTTTTAAATGCGAAGAACATAATAGTCCTGAGTAAAACATTCAGTATTTCTGCCACTTTTTAAACATACTAGTATGCAAAGTGACATCTTTAAATTGCATTAGGTCAAAACATATTCATCTCAGACTGTCTGCCGTTGAAATGTATTTAAAATTGTGTATGTTCATGTACCACTTTCATGAATTCATGAACAATCTGTTCTTTTATGATTTTGACTAATAAAACAAACACATTAAAAATGTGATATTGAGGCAGAAGACTCACTTTGACAGCATAGGTTTTCTGTTTCACCTTGTCCTTCACTTTCAGAATGGGTCCAAATGAACCTTTGGCGATGTAACCCAGCACCTGGTGAGGCAAACAGAGGGAGATGCAGACACAAAGACAGAGAGAGAAAACATCAGATACAGGCTGCGGCAAAAATAGCAAAAGCATTACACATAATTGGTGTTGAACTGAGGCCTACCTGAAAGTGTTCATGCCCAGGCACAGTTCTGTGGGGGAATTCAGGCAGGAACATAACAACAAACCCTGGCAGGCTCCACTCCGCTCTTAGCTTGCTGGGGCCGACTCCGGCCAACCTCAGGACGTGCTCTGGGATCTCAGGGGCCTTGCCTTGGAGCATTCGACGCTGGCCCAGACGCAGTGCAGGTGGGGCCAGGCGACAGAGGCCTGCTGGGATAGACAGGCCCATGCTGGAAAGGAAGCCACGCCATCCAGATGAGAAGTGCTCATCCTCCTGCCCTTCACAGGGCCTCTGAAGGAAAGACAGGGGAGAAGCATACAGTGAGAGGTGGTTAGGTCACAAAATGTTTATATTGTGTGTTGTCATCATCCTGAATGAAGATGGATCATGTCAGTGAGTATGTTTTCTAGAGAAACATCTGAAAAATCCTTAATATGAAAAGATATTAAAGAACCTTGCATGCACGTATGCATGTTTTAGCCATTTCAAAGTGACAGGGACCAGGAGAGGGATTAATGCTAATTGAGGCACTGCTAAATGCAAGCTTTTACTTAACCCTTTGGGAGTTGATTGCCCAGAAATAATAAGGCAAGGTGTTGCAAGCAACACAATACTGAAAGTGACTTTAGAAGCAGTTTATTTTCACTGTTTAAGCAGGAAATCTAGACATTGCTACAATTTGCATTTTAGGAAGCTGCCCAGTGCAAACACAGCTCCTCTGCTGCTTCTTTCCAACTGTGCAGTTATACTTAAGCAACTGGACATGTACATATTCAATATGATACAGCCTCTTCCTCTGTGTGATTGCTAATGTGAAACAAAGATTAGAGAAGTCAGGATATTCCGGCCTTAGTGACTTTATGCAACCCCTGAAAACACATCTGATTAGTTTTACTTAACCATTCCTGCTTGATGTTGTGATTAATGAAGAAGAAAAAAAACAACCTTTGGTCTACATCCAATCTGTAGTCACTTGGTCACACAGCCCCTCTGCCCCTGGGCGGCCCTGTGCTTCACAACAGATCTGATGCTCTGTGGTGCAAGATGTGTGTAATCAACCGTGCACGATGTCATTATCATCTCAGCCAATTGGTGGGACACATCTACAATCATTCAGCTGAAATAATTGCCATCAGTGAGGCATTTGCCTGACGACTGATCAGAAACTGGTTGGTGTCAGGATTTAAGCAGGACACTGAGGATTTTCATCTGCCAATTGATTATAAATGTAAAAGTTAGATTATTATACTTAAGAAATCTAATAGATTTCTTTTACACTGCAATAACAATCAGTGACTTTTTCCCTCACTAACTATACTGTCTAATAACACTGTAGTTTATACTGCTAATAAAACGGTGCAACACTCATCCAAGGATCGACACCGTCGTTGCTGCCTGGACACTAAAACATCGCCATGGAAACAGGGAACCCCGTACGTGCGTCACACCTTAGCAACCAGGAATTTCATTCATTCATTCAACTCACCTTCCTGCTTTTACTGCCGTCGGCCCCCATTACTGTGACAGGACATCAGCACTGTAGCCTCAGTGCGACGTCTGCTCCTCATCCAGCCGCTCACATCGTACTGCGCGCCATCACCGCACCGTTTCCACACGCTCACGCACAACACGCAGCCAAATGTACGTTTTGGAGCAACACTCTTTTACAACAATCTGCAGCCGATCACGCTATCCGGTGTAAAAAAATGTGATAGATATGGCGACATAAAAAAAACAAGTTAATCCCGAGTATGGGCAACGTCAGCGCAAATCCGCCCACATCTTTTCCATCCAATGAGAAGCTGCTGGAGTTCAGCTCCCCCTGCTGCTCCGTGTAATCAGAGCTGCACTGATTAATTCAACAAATCAGTGACGGTTTCTGTTGTCGTGCATCTTTCGCATGCTTGTGATTTTCTTGTGTGCAAACAAATGCATCTATATGCTAAAAAAAAAAAAAAATTGGATGCCTTCTCTGGCACCTTTGCCCTCCTCTGTTCACTTGCTCTACAAACAAGCCAGTGCATGCATAATTTCTGCTGCTTTAACATGCTAAGAGAAAACCCACTGGGCAACATCAAAGGTAAATTCATGCATGTTTGCAGCATAAGCACGAAGCCCTGCATAATGTTGACTGATGGGCTTCCAGGCAAGGTTCAGATAAACAGGATGGAGTTAAGTGACTTGGAAAATGTACTGCAATTTGAAGCCCTAATGGCACCAACATTATGCTAACAATGCATGTGTACACGCTGAATACAGTGAAACTGCCAGCAAACACAAAAGCAATAAAATTACACGACATAGCTTTCAGAAAAAATAAAATTCAAACCAAGACGTGACAGCGCAAGTGCCATTTATTTGGGACTACGAACATAAAAAGCAAACAGAGCCATCTGTACTTCTTACTTTCACATGTGACTTTAACCAATGTATGGTGACTTTTACAAAATAAACCAAACAGTTGAGCTTTAAATAAACAAGTAGAAAAGGTCGGCGAATTCATGTGGGAGCGTTCGGGGTTAAGGGAGCATCAGCTGGTCAGCCTCAGACTCAGTCATCCTCATCGAAGTCCTTCATGCCCTGGGGAGGTTTGGGTCCCCCTGCTGGTTTGGCCATGATGATCTGAAAGGAGAAAAAAGAAAAAAAGACAAAGCGGTAAGTCTAGCTGGGAATTAAGTGCACCAAGATCCCCACAGCTGACTGAGGGATTTGAGGCAGGGTGGAAGGTTATTAACTCTGACACTAAAACCTAGCAGCTAGCACGGAAAAACCTCAAATAAACAGGAATTGTGTTAAAGAACAAGTTTGACAGTGGACAAAATACTTAGAAATTAATAAAATGTGACCAAATTTATTTGCTAGAACTTAAGGGCTGAAGTCTAACCTGACTGGACTATATTTAAGTAAAAGAAAAGGTTTAAATCACGACACATCCCACTGCAGGCCCTTTAAGGTGCTTAAATATTCATAAGCACACATGTCAACATGTATGTGCTAAGAGAAAATGTGCTCCAAAGAATAATTTATGTAGCACAAGCTGTGAACACATTCAACATAAACTATATATTTTTTTAAAAATGTCCCCAACAAGTAAAGATCAAACCCCCATTCAATCAGCTGCAATGCTGGGACTTAACACATCAAACACTTCAGCATGAAATCTCTTCAAAAGGAAATAATCATGACAAAGTTATATAGAATATCCAGTCTAATCTCATTTACATGTTCCCTGTGTATTAAATGGTGTTACATGCAACACACTTTGATTCTGCACTTGCCTGATTGCGTCCCCTGCAATGGAAAGAGTTCAAGAGAGCATGCAGCATGCTATCACACCATACAGTATCTGTTTTGTGCATGTTTAAAGAGTGGCGCTCCTGGTATTGTTAAAAACACCCATGAAGTTGCTGAATCTCATCAGCAATGCAACGTTTTTCACTCAGTGTTAGTAGTGACGGGCCAAACAGCAAACATTTCACAGCTTCGGTGTCCTGTGAGCGTGTGAGTACGTCTGTGCAGTGTTTTTCGAGTTAAGAATCACACACGCATTCCAGGACCTACTGAAAGAGGGCATGTGTGTGTGTGTGCCCTCTAATGATGAGTTTCAAAATTATCAGGCTCTTCATCCCAACCGTCCTTGTCCCAGTGGCCTCTCTGCTTGGGAGCTTTGGGTCCCCCTGCAGCCTTAGCCATGATGATCTGGATCATACATATATGTACACACACACCAACATTAACTACCTGGTGTATTTTACATAGCTCCCTCACCAATTGCTTTCAACAACATCAGTTTTGTATTGAAGCATACACAGCTGAAAACATAAATAGAACATAAAGGAAAAATGTTGAAGCTTGATCCCCTTTAAAGAAACACAACACCAAAAGACTACATTCACGCTGGATTCTAAAGACACAAGTCTGCCTCCAAATTTTAGTTTGTCAGCTAAAATTCGTACAGTTACAGGTAAATTTCAAATTCAGCCAATCTTTCTGTCTGCAGGATGATTGAGGCAAAAAGAAAAAGAAAAAATCCAAAGAAAAACCAGAAAGGCTGAGCTGATCCTATTAAAAAGTTTTGCTTGTGTCCAATGTTAACAACAGCTGCATGACTGTGAAGCTGCAAATGAAAATATTCAACTTTGGGGTTGATTTTGATTATATGTAGAGCGTCATGTGCCTTGAGTGTTTCTGTACGCACCTGATCCACTCTCAGTACTGTGATGGCAGCGTTGGTGGCCAGTTTGATGCCCCAGTATTTGACCAGGTAAGGCTCCACAATGCCACCTTCAAGCATGTCCTTCACAGCGATGCCATCTCCCTAAACAGACACCACACATTTAAAAATAAATGCATTGGAGTGATGACTCGACTGTTTTTCAAATAATGTACAAAACCTGCATGCTTAAATACTAAAAACCTGCTACATGATGAGGGTTTAATGCCACTGTTGATGCTGAACTTGTGTGTATATAAGAAGGGCCTCTGTTGCAGAACTTTTCATATGATATTGTCTATAAAATCTAAATGCGAATGAACCTAATGCAGTAAAACACCAGGACATATTATTCAGCAATGTAATTGTTTTTACAATCAGCACAACAGAGCCCCAGAGATCTGTCTTTAAAGAGATTGTATATGACTCAGTATGTATATAGGTGCCAGCTATATCTGTGGTAGTGGTTGATATAGTTAATGTGTGAAATTGTGTAGCTTTCTCTGAAGCGCAAAAGAAGCTATGGCTTTACAATGGTAAATTCAAAATGTTAAGACTTTGGTGACCGGCAAATCAGACTAGATAGAAAGGATCGAGGTTTTACATTTTCAGTATTAGTGGATAATCAGTGCCCTTTGTTGTCTTTCGCTATCAAGCAGATTGAAATTCATGTTGTGTCAACGCTGGGATTAACAAGGCATGGATTTTCAGGACAACGCAAATCTTGGAAAGAAAATGATACATCAAAGTCACAAAGGGATTCTCATGTACACCAACGCACCTCGATGTCGAAGCCCGTGTTTTTGTTTCCCTCGTGATGCGCAGCATATAGTTTAGAAATGAGCTCGCTTCCCTTCACGCCAGAGTTCTCAGCCAGGGCACGTGGCAACGCCTCGAAGGCTTCAGCAAACTTCTTAATGGCGTACTGCTCCAGACCAGGGCAGGACTACAGAGAGAGAGGCGAGAAACAAGGTTGTTTCAAAAAATGTATGTGTTGGTAATGAAGTAAAAAGGGGAAAAATGAAGAGGAGGCATTATTGTGAACCGGTTATGCCTCAATTAATGCATTTAAATCTGCATACCTCTCCGTATGAGGTAATCTGCTTGGCAAGCTCGATCTCAGTGGCTCCTGCTCCAGGTACCAGACGCTTGTCCTGCAGACAGTGAATAACAGAGACTGTAGCTGTTAAACAATGAATGAACAACATATTAAAGGGTTTAGCAAAAACTCTAAAACTCCACAGGCATCCTTGAGAGAAATATAAAGAAAATGCAACAGTTACTTGGAGCATATTAAAAAAAAACAAAAAAAACCAGATTTTTTTCTTTACAAACAAATTCTTTAATTTATATTTTGTATGCATTATTCATATAAAGGTTGGGAAAACAATCCCACTGTGGTTTCCTGTGTTGACTTACCCTGACCAGAACCTTGAAGGTGTTGACTCCATCATCTACAGCCCTCTCGATGTCGTCCATCAGGTTGTCAGTGGAGCCTCTGATCACCACTGTTGAGATGGCACCGTCCTCTTTTTCTGTTTCAAACAATCAACACCAAACAGTTTGTTAGGCCTAAAACTCCTAATGAGCAAAGGTATTGTTAAAAATAAAGATTCATCAGACTGAAGCAAAGATTGATTTACCATGTTTGAAGACCACCACCTGAGTGTCTCCCACCTCCGTCAGGTAAACACTGTCACAGTGACCCATCTCCTCCGGAGTTGGAGCCGTCTAAGGATGGAGAAAAGCATTATTTCACACTTTACACTGGTCTGTTGGAATATGATTTAAAAGCCTGACCTGGACAAAACTAGATTACACTCACCATCCTGGGAAGTGCTACAGCTCCCACAGTCTTGCACAACCTCCTGAGGTCCCACTTGCTGTTAAGCCTGTAAGAGGAAAAGGAGGATTTTGGCTTTGAAGGTACACAGAGATGGAATCCACAGAAAACCAGCATATAATGAGGAAGGACAAATAAAGACTCAAAACATCAAACTTAAAATGATAATAGTAGTAAATAATGAACAAATAAATAAAGAAATAAATAATTAAAAAACAAACAAACAAACAAACAAACTGTTTCGCCTGGAATTTAAGCCAAAAAACAGCAACTTCTTGCTTTGCATCTATGACAAATCTTTTACTCATGGCACACAAAAAAGGTCATCTAATGTGAGGGAATGTTTTGAGTCTACATAAACCTGCACATCAGCCACTCTAACCTGGACAAATACTAGCAACCCAGGCATGAGGTCTGCATTAGATTTACACCATCTTCTTAAGGTGGAAGACATTTTGATGACAGGTTTAATTTTGAAGGAAAAAACTCTTGAGTACTACAAGCTCTGATCATTTGAACTACTGTGGGTCTTACCTGACCACCATGAGCTTGTATTTGTTGGCGTAGTGCAGCGCCATGTCAGCCACTTTCCCTCCAGTTACCACCACGTTGGCACCAGCCTCCTTGATGGCCTTCACCTGGGCCTCCATCATATCCTCCTCTCCCTTACTGAAGTTCATGAGTTCCTGTGCATTATTTATCAACACTGTTCCCTGTGAAACAGACAAGACTTTTGTTAGCAATAAGATCAGCACCTTCGTAGGGCTGTCTAGATGTAGTGACACCACGATTTAATAAACCCAAGACAAGTGGCCACACCAGGAGTGAAGCCGGTACACAGAACTCAGTCATCATTAATTGCATTATTTACACATATATTTATCCTGGTGTGACATGGCAAATTATTTTCCATGAGAAGAGGCTATGATATGAGGATGTAAGTTCTTTACTAACTCAGCTTTTTACAAAAAAAAGAAACATCCACATGTTTGTTAAGTTCCATATGAGTTCATGTTGGTCAGTTTTCTCTACGGCACAACAACTCCTCATATGGAACTTAAACATATGGATTTTTCTTTTGGAAGTATTAATTACCTTGGTCTCTGTCACCATGCTGTCAAAGGGGCAGGAGAACACTGCAATCTTGGCGTCTTTAACTGATGTGATGTCTCCCTCTGCCTCTTTCTTAAAAACCATGCCATGTAGCATGGAGGATGCTGTCACACCACAACCCTGAAAAGACCACAGACAACAATTTAGAATCAAACAACACAATCATGGTCAAAATATAAGCAGTGGATAAAGCTGCTTACCAAAATCTTGCATACTCTGACGCTATCAACGTTGAAACTGCCGGACTCTGGGAAGATGGATACTGTAGCAAAAAGAAAAGAAAACATCTGCTGTCAAGGTAATTGATGGCTAATAGTTGTAGTTGGTCTCCGTAGTCTGAATTGCTGACTCACCACAGGCCTGTGCAATGAGGTTGGCGAGGAAGTCTTCGTTGCCGTACTGTTTACTCATGACAGCTGTACGGATGAGAGATGTGGCCTCCTTAACGTCGTGGAGATTCTTAGCTGAGGAACATACACAGTCTGGCAAGAGCTCCAGAGCCTTCTTACATGCCTTCTCGTATCCTTCGATCACCTGCAAAAAAACAGGAAAGAAAACACTGAGAAAATGCTGCAATTTATTCCTTTAAGATGGAAATTGTTGACATTTTAGCCAACTGTTTCACCAATAATAGTGTAATAATTGTTTACCCAATGTTTAAGTCTCTTAACAAGAAAGCTGGGTCATTGGTAGTCAATGCTGCACTAAGTGAAACATGAACAAGATGTTTTCCCAAAAAATAATGTTTTATAGAAGACAGGCTTGTCTGAAAAAAACTACTTGTACAGACAGGTGTTGATAAGTTAATTGTCATGTCATCACACTGTCTACACAGCACAGACATGGTGATGTTCACCAGCTACAGTTATTACCTCTGACACAGACAAGCCCATCCTGAGCAGCTCTTCAGCCAGCTCCAGCAGAGCTCCAGCGAACACCAGGACAAAGTTGGTGCCGTCACCGACCTCCTGCTCTTGCATGTGAGATGCCATCACAATCATTTTGGCTGCTGGATGCTGCACCTGTAACGCACATAACATTGATAAAATGTATTACTTTCACACATTTATGAAGCATTCGATGAAATCCAGCAAGCTGAACAAAGACATTTTCTCACCTCAAGCTCTCTGAGAATTGTTGCAGCATCATTGGTGACAAAGAGCTTTTCCAAGTGGTTGATGACCATTTTGTTCATACCTGAAAGGAAACAGTGGCATAGTTTAATGATTTTTGTTTTGTTTCCTGTCTGATTTAATTCTCCACTGACCGAACCATAAATGGCAATGACAGACTTTTGTATACTGCTGGTGGACTGTGCTTACCATTTGGCCCATAGGCGGTGCGTGTGGTCTGAGAAAGCTCCTTGCATGCTCTGATGTTACGAAAGACTGCCTCTTCAAGCCCTGAATAGTGCTGTAAAAAAACAACAAAGGATAAATCAGCTGCTGTGACTTTGCAAGATATGTACTTCATTTGAGAAGTGTCAATATCAGACACATTTCTATTCATGTTCTGCCCAACTTCTAATCCAATACAAATAACATCAAAACACTTGAGTGAACTGGGGATGTGAGCTGCAATAACTGTGTGTGGACAATAAAATTATTTGCAAAGACAGGGAAACACAATCAGGAAATATAGATTAAATGCAGCATGTGCGTTAACCCAAAACAGGAAGCATCAGACAGACCCATCTGAGGGGACAATCTGCGCCTCAGCATTGACAGTTAGCTAAACGCTAGCAGGGTGTGACTGCAGTCTGACAGCCAGTCATCACTGCAGCTGAAACACTATGCACACATACGGGATGGTTAAGTGCTAAAGGGGACAGCTAAAGACTTAAAAATATGGCTTTCGTCCATCACAGCAGCTCCGGGTCCGGCAGCTCCCAGCGGCCTGGCTGCTTCTAGAACTCTCCTCCACATGACTGTGAATGAACGTGCTAACTCAGCGGCTAACTTTAGCCGAGTTCACAACGGCTACATAAAGCTAACATACGACTCCAACACGGTGATTTATCCTCACCTTGGCGCCGTCTTTTAACATTTGGGCAAAGCCCGGAGCTTTGGGGACGTGGAGGGCCATTTTGCGATGTTTAGAAGCCCCGGTATCCTGGAGTAGGTAGCCGCGGCGTGGTTCAGCTCTGGGTACAAAGCCGGAGAGGCAGAGGAGGAGCGATTTCAACGAGGCGTGAGCTAACGACGGGATACGACAAGGGACAAACCGAGCGAATCGCCTTTCACCTGCTGGGACCAGGACATGCCACATGATGGCGCTCTTGCCTTTATAGACAATATACAGTATGTTACACAGTATGTACAGCAGTAGAAGAGGACTGGAGAGTCCTTACCTGCATATCGGTACAAACTTTATTAAAACAGGAAATGTGTTTTAAGTAAAAATGCAGTAAGCCAAAGTTACAAAACTAAAAAAACCCAAATGGCTTCTTTAAGAAAATGTTTACAGTATTATTATTGATGTGTAAGTATATAGCAAATCGCATTTCGATTTGGAAGCTGGTCGTGATATTTTGCACACCGTTAATCAGTAATATTCCATTGTATCTAATAAACAACCACTGTATAAATAATGACTATAGCTGCCTAATAAATGACCATGAGGTCAAATGCAAATGTACACAGAGCAAATGTACTTTTAATTTATTGATATGTGATAATAATGAAATTATGATGGAGTAGCAGGTGGTGTTTCATGTATTGTCAGCTCATACTCTGAACACATGGATTACACAGTTTCAGATGTTTATCAGCTTAACACTGATGTGAAGTCAAAGGACATATATACACTGACATACAATCACTGTGAAAAAAAAGAAACAGAAGAAAACTACAAAAAAAGCAAAGAAAAGCCCATTAACAGTCCCCCCATCATGCTATTTCACTAAATATTTAGCCTTCATTATAGTCTATTTGTATGAGGTGGCGCAGTTATGTAAAAAGTTAATATTTCCACTAGTGTACACTTGAAAGTATTTCAAGGTCTCAAAATTCTTTAAAATTGCATATTACTTCAAAAACATGTGAAGGTTCTGCAAATTTAAGCTATTTAATAACTTAAGACAATAGTTTTTTACTCCAAATGTTAGTATTTAAAATTACTTATTTGAACATTTGTGAGGAACTAAGAAATGTGACTTATGTTTCACCCCTAATTCAAGTGTGGTTTGAATTGAGTCCTTACGGAGTAAATAACAGAGTGATTATATCCGACACCTACAATATGTACTTTTAGGAGTGTAAGTGTTATTTTATGTTATAACAAGATCAAATTAATATAAACACGAAACAGACATAACAAAAAGAAAAGACTTGTCGGTTGTTTGAAGCTTACAGGTTTTATTGTGTAGAGTTTTGATTTCACATTTGACAGTTTCTCCCTTTTTTTCTTAATAACGTAGAAAAAGAAGGTACCAATACATTAAAAATGCAGCAAAGAGAAGCGTTTCGCTTCATTTGAGGCTGTTTAGCTTGACAGTCACTACACTAATAACTTGCTGGATATTACTTTATAACATCATCATCATCGATGTCATCTGGTAATGAGCCATTAAATCTTCCCCCTATCACATTATCAGATGATTTATGTGTACAATATCGGTATATGAATCATCCACAGGCTGTTACAAGTGCCGACCTCTGCCTCAAGGAAAGTTCCCATTCTAATACTGCCTAAGCTATAGTTTATATAAAAAAGTCCCCTTTCATAGAAAATACACATAAAATTTGGTATAATCAAATGTCATTTAAAAACGTATAACAAATGTTAGTAACATCTTTGCATACATTTAAAGTCGAGGAAAATGCATCTCCCTTCTGTCAGTAAATTTAGTGTTAGTTCTGCAAATTTTGGTCTTGTGCAGCATCTCTTTAAAGTTTTTTTTCTGTAACATTTCTATGCCGAGAGTGCGAGCACAAACTAAAATATTAGTATTTAAAAAATGTAACGAAGACATTTGGTTGTGGCAGCCATGACAGACACGCACACCACAGTGTAGAAATCCCTTTGGTAGCTACAATGAGGACATTTTACCCACAACTAGCTAACCTGAGATGTGTAAACACGAAAGATTCACACAGGTGCTGCTAATTAGGCACCACACAGATAAAAAAAACACAAGACAAGCCACTACGTAACAGTCTCCCATGACAACACTACATGTATATGTAACAGTGACAAGACAGTGATAAATGTGAGGCATGACTACAAAAGGTCCTGTATTTTACATGCACACATGTGTGAAGTTCAGTTGGGTTTGCGAATAGTGTTCACAGCTGTGTGGGCCCAACCTCCCAGCGAGTTTGAGAGGTTTGTGGCTCGACGTGTGAGGTTTGACCGACTGAGTTTACCGCTGGGGTCCAACCTTCTCAGAATCACTCCTCCACAACGTTGCTTTGTACTGGGTCTGCAGAGAGAGAACAACTGTTGCTGAGCAGGGAATAAACATAGGGAGAAGAAACCCTGTCATTTACTCAGTTCTTAATACCATAAACTAGACAAAATTACTAATCAGTTCACGTGCCTTTCTTCCTTTTTAGATTCATTCAAACTTTTATTATTCCAATTCTTCAAAATGGTAAACACTAAAGAAACCTATCAGGTAATTAATGCAGCATTTTCAGTAACAAAACACATCCATAACTTTTCCGAGACTTGGAGACAAACTGATAAGTTAAAAGAAATAGAACATATATAAGAACCGATGAAGAGACAAAGAACGGGTAAGAATGTAAAACAAGGGTTATAAAGCTGGAAAAAAGTGAGTCAGATAGAGAAGAGCATCCTTTGTTTGGGAAAAGAAAATGATTTTCAGTGCAATATCATAGACTTTCAGTGTCAGATGCAAATCACTCCATGCACGGACATTCGGTTAGCTCTGACATGCGCTCAGAGCATATGTTTCCTTAACGTATCAGGTTTTAGTAGGATTTGTTTCTGAGATGCAAATTTACCTTCTGCCCTACTCCGCAATTAGGGAATAGTTGAACTGCCTGTCGTAGGTGGAAAACAAACTTGTTTAAACTTCTCAGATAAGTTGTTTTCATACAGTGAGGAAAGCAGCGGGCCGCATGTAATGTGCACAGATAATAGACGAGGTCACTGTGCGTGTGTGTATCACTGTTTTTGACAGTGTGTCTTCCGTGCCTTAACATTTTGAATGTCAACACAGGAAATGACGCAAAAACATTCAAAACTCTCAAACGCATTTTTGTCATTTCATCTGGCTCCAATTCCCACACCCCTGTCCCCCCACCCATTCCTTATCCGAATACCAGAAACACAGACCCAGTTTCAAACCGAGGCGGGAAGAATGTCTAGGGGGAGGGGAAGGAAATCTGGGGACCCACAAGCTGCACCACAGACTGGGATTCTTTAGGTGGGAGGGTGAAGAGGGTGAGTAGGGCAGTCACGCGCTTCCTCTATGCACGAGGCACATGTACTGGACTCCTCTATGTAAAACATACACGGATATAAGGAAGTGGACTGATGGCTTCCTCAGTTACACAAAATACTTTCATTCATGTATGTAGAAAAACAAAAGTTTAACAGTTCTTAACCTGCTTTACCAAACAAACCAATCAAAACAAATGTGCTTTACTTGTCATCTCTGCTGATGATGTCGTCAAAGGCCTTTGACAGGTGTTTGAGCCTCCTGAGCCCACTGGAAACCGACTCCAAATCTCGGTCAAATTTTCTGTTACACCAGAAAAACAAACAAACACTCAGGGCTGAGAAATTCACAGAAATAAATGTAGCCAACAAGGAATGTAATCTGAAAAACATTGAGACCAACGAACAAAGCCTCAGACAGAAAGCTGAATTACACTGTAGCTGGTAATGGAACTCACAGTCTCTGGTTCTGTGTGTTGGGGGAAGCAAAGGGACTTCGTAAGGCAGCCATGCGAACCAGTTGTCTTCTGCCTCCTCTGGGTTTCACCCCTCGTACTGACGCCTCAGGAGTCCTTCGTCCTCTCGAGCCTGGAGTGCGCCCAGGTGTGGCTGTTGACCTGGGGGTGCGTCTGGGTGTTGCAGGTCGTCTAGGCGTGCGTCTTGGTGTGCAAGAAGTTGAGGCACCAGCATTTTCTCCATCACGACCTGGGGTTGCTACCAAACACTCCTCACGTACAAACTCTCTGTTCCTCTGAAACCGCTGTGTGAAGGAGAAATTACACAAAAGAAGGAGGGTGATGATGACGATGATAAGAGAACAAATGATGGATAGTTGTTGATGTCAATCCGTGTCACAAAAAATTAAAGGAAGTTACTTAATTTCCAGGCATTTTCACACACAACATGTCTTTTCATGAACTGGTACCTCCAGATCCAACAGTCGAGAACTATTTACCTGATACACTCCGCTGATGGAGTTCCGAGCACTACGACTAATTTTGCGGATGGTGCTGGTTTTCGGTTCCTCCTTCACGGTTTCCCAAGTTGGATTCTCTGGGAGGGAGTTGGCCTGGACGGAGCGCAGAGGGAGCCGCTTGCGCAAAGACATTCGCAGAGAGTTCAGTGAAGACGAGGAGCGAAGCTTGCGGAAACGGTCAGGGGCTTCTGGTGAACTTTCTGCCCCGTCAGACTCATCAAGGACTGTATGCGCTCGCCAGACTCCAACCACAGCTTTACCAACCCCATCCATCACTGAAGACGCCATACTGACTGAGCTGAGGAAAGATTAAAATACAGCACACTATAAACTACAAAAAAATACGTTTTTAAGCAGACTTCAGAAAAGATCATTGGAGCACTTTACACAGATTTTAGGAAAATAAAACTAGTGCTAAAAATATGTTGACACTGAGTTGACTTAATATGCAACACCTATAATAATCCTGGCCATTTAGCAAGAACAGTTAATGTTATTAGATATTGCTGTTTTACTCTGTTATATGATTTTAACCTAAATATCTATTTGATCTGATAGTATTGGAAAGATATAATCAAGTGTATCAATAGGTGTGTAGACATAAATGTAAATGCAATGAATGTAAATGATCTGAATGTTGTGAGGAAGGAAGGAAACGGGAGGAAGATCCATGTGTGCACTGTCCAAGGGCTTTGATAAGATTGTTTTGTAAGCCCTACTGCGTTTGTTCACCTGCTGAGAAGTGCAACACCACAATGTTTAGGATGTAAGGTTGGCTGAAGAAAGAATGTATGAGGTTTTATGTAAACATGACATGCAGCTTCTGAACATGAGGGGAATATCAACCAAATACATTGGTGTTCCTATGGCACACACTGGTGGACGGTAAAGGATTAGAGAAAGAATTTAAATCCATATATTTGTGAGCTCAACATCAGCTCAGTTTGTTTGTATTCTCTGCATAATGTAGGAGTGAAGTGACCATCACTGACCCTTTTTTATTCCTTCCTTAAATGTGTTTCAATAACTTAGTATTGGAGTATTTCGCCGAATGTGGTCGTCAGATAAATATTTCAGCCCAATAGTTAGACAAAGGAAGCTGAGTAAAAGAGATAGGTATCAAGACAAAAAGAAACAAGTCCAGCTCCTCATAATGTTGAGCTCATTGAAGTGCATCTGTTATTTTAAGTTCACAGTACTCAGTTACTGAGAAAAAATGGGAGCAATGTTAATGAACAAAGGACGGGAAATGAAGGTGAAAATGACCCGTAACAACCCCAACAATCAAGCAGCGATAATCGTGTTAGTGAAAGGCTCCGCTGCTATTGTTTGATGAGAACAATGTAGCTGCACAGACTGCCCTGCCCCGTGAAACTAAACCGGGATGACTCCATCCAAAACACCGGCAGAGGAAGGGATAGAAGCGACTTAGCGCTACCATTTATGCGCTAAATGGGAATGAAGTTAAATATTTCACACTCTCAACAATGAAACTTGACACATCGAGAAGCACCGTTACTGATAACACATCGCTTGAGTCTCACACAACAACAAAAGAGTTCGTGAAGGCACCATAAATTCACACAAAAAGACGTTTACGTCAAACATCTTAGCACAGACAAAAACAGACGAACTGTTCCGTTACCTGCTGTGTCGATAACGTACCTGAAATGATCGGTTGTGAGAATCGTCCGTCCTCTTCGCTGCAGCTGCCTGTTGTTCGTGTTTCTTTCTTTCTGTTTGAATTTGGCGGTGGACCGCAGAAAGCTCGCGGACAGGCGTCACCACGCCCTTTACGTACAGCCGACGACGGAAGACGTCGCGTCCGTTACGTAAAGGTCCTTTTAGCCTGAGACGCAGGAACGTGCTTGAAAGACGAAAAACTTAGTCTTTAATAAAATAAATGTGATTTAATTTGTTTTATTTATTTATTTATTTTTAGAATAAATTTAGTGATATTTGTTTTTTCACAGCAGAACAGTATTTTTTGAATCATTCACCTTTAACAAAAAGCTTACTTTTTCGGATTGATGTAAATCACGTATTTGGAAAACCTGATGGAACTAAGATTTATTCACAGATAAAAAGATGTTTTAGATTTTTATTTTAAAACGTCTTAAAAGTAAAATTTTATATCAATAAATATAATAAATGTGATATATCCTTGATCATTTTTAAATTTGTATCAGGAATAAAAATGTTGCAGTAATTCTGTATATAAAATAAATAGCTGATGATCCCAAGATTATAGTGTACTGACACTGTACATTTTTAAGAAATTCCTCTTTGCAGGTACATCGCATACATTTCTCTAACCAAACAGATACAAGTCCCTGCAGATTGACGTCACCACTGTCATACCTTAACAACATTGTGCTCTAAACTTTATTCTTCAGTTTAATATACACCAGTATAGATTAAATGTGGGTGTACAGTTCTTTTAGCCAGAGTTTATGTAATACAACATAATAAAGCTTATCTTTATGAGATTTATGGAGTTCAGTTTTTATTGATATGCCGTGAGATAGGCATTGATACAACAAACATGCCATTTAATGGTTTTGTTGTATGGCTTTACTGTATATTGAGGGATGTTTCTAACTGTTTTCTCTTCCCATTTACACACATAGGGGAGAAATAATAATAATAATAATAATAATAATACTAATAATAATAATTACAATAATAATAATAAAAAAACACATCTCTAACACATCTCAGGTTAGCACACTTCAGTGCAGCAGATCCTTTGTGTCATTCAGTTGATATTCTAATGCAATATATAATGATATTTGATTGTGATTGTGAAATTTAACTCTGAATTTGAGTTTCAAATGTATCATTCATTCTGAGACTGGTCCTGTTTTGCGCAGTATGATGGCAATAGAAAAAAAAAAAGTCATTTCAAATGCACAACGAGGCTTTGTAAAAAAAAAAAAAAAAAATTACATTAATATTTCATTAAATGTCTTTATGTGGATATTTTCACATACATGTCATTGTTATGGGTAAGGGCTTCAAAGTAAGATGACCAGCAGATGTCACTTGAGACTTGCATGTGAAACGCTTACACACACTAGTGCTTTGGGATCTTGGTTATGTCTATATTATCTTTTGAGTTTCACTAAAAATGTTAACAAGATTGTCTTTCCATTTTTATTTAATGTTTAATCCAATTGTTCTTATGTAGTCTTATAAAACAATTTCTAATGAACTTGTGTTGTGCAAATGCAATTTCAGACATTTCAGTTATGCAGAATGTGCTGCTAGAAAAGACATGCAACATCTTTGACACGTTAAAAGGGTTCCCAGCATGATATCGCAGTTACGTGACACAAAGCAAAGAACAGTGCATTTTTAAGGGCCATTAAAGAAGATACAAGAGGACAGTTTCTGGGTGTTTGCACAGTCATTATGGTGTAATTAAAATAAGTATTTATCTTCTTTTTTCTAAACGCAGACTACATGTCTTATTTTTGGAATTGTTGCATATGCTGCGTTTGGTCACAAACCACAATTACAAATACAACAGAGCCTGTGAACAACAATCAGATCACATCTAGTTGAGCGAGGTCTATCTTTTCAGTGTGGGGCATTAGTACTCTTTTCAAACATGTCTTCTATAGCTGACAATGATATCTTATTATGTCTTAATAGGAATCTATTAGAAATTACATTGTGAATATTTAGCCAACCAAATAAACAAATTCTTGATGAGTGATTAAAACCCGCAAACATAACTAAGCAGCATCAGCCTCAGTGTAGACAACAATCTTGTCCTTATATTGTATATCTGATTTCCTGTTCAAGCTGGTTTAACATCTCTGCATTCCCGTCATTTTTGTTGCAGTGTTTTATGTGAACATGTTAAGTATTCATTTAATGGTAAGAAGGCAACAACCTAGACCTTGACCTTGACCATGGGAACCTTGTAATCCATGTCCTTTTGCCTCATTAAAAGTAAATGTATAACATGATTTTAACAAGCTTTGATTTTATTGTTGAGTCAGGAGCTAAAGTTCAGTGCAAATGTGGAAACCAGGGACCAAGAGTTTGATTCTGAGGCAGCTCAGCTCAATGATCAATTGTTAGATTGGCCAGGTTCTGAAAACTATAGGTATATTTTATACTGGGAAGTCTAAACGCATCAAATTAAGTATTATAACAGTTCCTTTTTTCTCTTTTTATTTTTTTTTCATTGTTTTTTAGTTAAGTTGGTTGTCTTTTAGCTTAAAGCTTATGTTTTAACCAGGGAGCTTGACCTGTATTTGTCTCTTTTGTCCAAAAAAGTGCAGCTTGTCTAGTCATATATTCATGGATTATCCAGTGCAGACAACGTGGAAAAATAAGGGGATTGCATGCGTCTAACATTTTATCTGTTTGGTTATGTGTCAGCGTATAACATGTTGTAACTGTATTAAAAAGTATGTCGTACCATTAAGTCTTAGAATCATACATCATCTCTTAAATATACAGCAGAACTTGTGACTTTGATTTTTTTTTTCTTCACATCCACAGAAGAAGAGGTCCTTGCAATGTCAGTGTGCTTTTCAGTTTGGTTTATTTTCTTGCAAAGATATTAACAACAAAAGAGGAAATGGAGTGTTAAAACTCACTTCATCATCAAGGTCAAAGTGCATTACATAATGAAAAGTAACAAGCTAAATGTCATACCACAGACTCCAGAGATCCTCGTCATAATTATTGGTTAAATAAATAGCACATTGCATACATAGTAGATAGCTTATTACAGTTATCAGATTTTTAGAGATATTTTGGGAATTTAAAAAAATGTTTTTTTTGCTCTGTTGCAGAGAGTTACATGAAAAACACTGACGACATATTTGTGTGATAAATATGAAGCCTATGCCACCGGGGAGTTTGCTTAGCATAGCGCGAAGACTGAAAGACAGCTAGCCTAGATCTGCCGAAAGCTACAAATATAAGCACCCAGTCCATTTAAAACTCTTTGGCATATTTTGCAACGATCAGCCACAAACCACTGACAGGTAAAGTCTATATCATCTATACAATTGATGATCTCACTACAATACAAAGTTCTGCAGGGAAACCTTGGGTCCTGCATTCATGTGGATGGTGCTTTGATGTGTATCATCCACCTAAACATTGCTAGAGACCAGGAGCAGGACATATTGCAAAAAACTGCTCAGGAAAGATTCAAGGAACACAACAAAGAGCCTAAAAATCTGACCAAGCATTTGCTGGATGTATCTGAATCAGCCTGATCCAGAGAGGCCTCAATCCACAAACTACAGTGCCCTGAAGTTACCCTGCCAACATTCCGGTGCTAGGCAGCAGTAGGGGGACCTAAACAATGTTGGGCAGGAGGTTTTATTGTTGTGGCTGATCATTGTGTAGGGCCTGTTAATTCTGTAGAAAAAACTGCATTTTGCTGTTTGAACAGAGCTCTGCTAGTGTTCCTTCAAACCAGCCTTTGTGGTGAAGACAGCTGGTTGTAGCTTCATATTTAACAGACAGATATGAGAATGACATCAGTCTTCAAACTCTCAGCAAGAAAGCGCGTAAATGCATTTCCCAAAATGTCAAAGCATTCCTTTAAAAAATGTCAAATACGACAAAAATTAAAAAACAAGGTTATGAAAATCGCTAATAGCAGTGTCCTGATAACACAAAAGGGAGCGGTGGCGTCTTCATTTCTTGCAGCACTGTCGAAAGACAATTAAAGCATTAGGAGGTCCTGATTGTAATGATTCAGTCTTTGTGCTCTATGTGCATGTTTTGTGTGTTACCTTTACGATTGTCCTCCACCGTGAAACAAATGCAAGCAGCGCAGTGAGGAACACCACCACAATTCCTGCAATCATGGGCATCAGTGGGAACTTTATGGTCTTATCTACAAATGAGGAGAAAGATGATTAACCCCCTTCACTGACATCACCGAATGAGTCATCGTTTCGTGTGCCGATGACACATCAGAAGGGAAATATCCAGCAAAAATATTCAACATGTGGAATGTGGTTTCAGTAACATTGAAGGGTGCTGATCGAGTGAACAGACCTGTTACTGTGACAGGGAAAGTCTTGGTGAATGCTCCATATTTGGAAGAATGTGCTGTGCACTGATACGTGCCAACATGCAAGCTCCTCTCCACTTTCGTGGCTCTTAGCTCGCTTGCATGGCCGTCAGTGTTCACAATGAAGCCACCTGCTAATAGATCCACCAAGCTTCCATTTTGTACCCACACCACAGATGAGACTGGTGGATTTGCCCAGATGTCACAGCGGAGGACGAGCTCTGCCTCCTCTTCTACTGTAACCTCCTCTGACCCAGACAGCTCTGGGGGATCTGAAGAGAAAACATTATTGCTGCTGAGTTGCTTTTGCAAATGCATATATTTCACCTAAAGAAGAAATCTCAGTGCAGCTATGTTTCAACTTTTATGTTTCAGTCAAGTTCAGACGAAAACATCCCAACAGCTGCTGGACAGACAGGAAATTTATACAGACAGTCATGGTTCCCAGAGGATGATGTTGGCCTTTTTTTTTCCTTTTTTTTTTTTTTTTAGCATTTTAGTATGTTAACACTTTGTAAATAGCACAGCAGAACAAAGTGCAGCTGATGTTGATAATAATGGCATTAATTTTGGCGATATTTGGTAATAAATATACAATACATACAAAGTGACTCTTCCAGGGGACAACACATGATCTGATAAAAATCTATCCTACAATCCAGTCATCATGGTATTTCACCAAAAAAACACAAATGCTAACCCTCTGATTGCACTAGTTTTCAGATCAGTGTATCACCAGCATTCATATGTTTCATGGCAGTTCATCCAGTAGTTGCCATCTTTCAGTGTGAACAATGGTCGCGGTATGGTCACTAAATCTACATGAGTTACTAGCTACCAGTATCTATATTAACAACAGCATGATTTATAAAGGGACTCACATGTGACATTCAGGGTGACAGAAGCCTCAAATGTGCTGTTTTCTTTGATGTGACAAGTGAAAGTGGCATCGTTGTCATCATGGATGACAGGTGAAACACACACACTGCTGCGGCCTTTCTTGTTCTCTTCTTTCAGAGTGACCGTGACGCCATTTCTGAGCCACACCAGCTCTTTTTCAGCATCATCAACGCCACAACTCAGAGACACAGTGGTCTCCAGCTCCACCTCTATAAGACCCTCACTGTTGGCTGCTGGGTCAGCCACGATATTGAAACCTCAGGGAAGGAAAGGAAATAGAAACAGTTGATTGAAACAGTAGAAACTTAGTCTGCGCAAAGTGGTGAGAAAACAAGTGTTATGTCTTTTGGAATAATTTAGCTTAAAGAGGAAAGTCAGTTACATTCTTGGTGAGCTAACCAGACACACTTACTGAACACGTGGGTTGCACAGCACAGGAGCAGATGTAAGAGTGAGGTTCTGAGTATTAACTTCATTGTTTACTTCTTTAAAAGAACCTGGAAGTAAGAGAAAGATCATGATCATGATCACTTACATGGAGTCGATTTAAACTTGTCATTGAGTCTAAATTCACCACAACATCAGTACTTTTCAACAGAAAAACAAATATGAAGCCGTAGATTCTGCTTTGGTGCAGACAAACTGCAGACTTTTTCAAATAACTTCCTTAATCGTCCTAGGCCACCAAACATCTGTGACTCCCAGCAGAGTCCCCAGAACAGCAATACTATTTTTACTTTACGCATTAGTGTTTTTACCCTCAGTGCAAATTCCAGTCAAATGTGATCAGACTGCACACCAGAGGAGAAGACTAAGAAAATATTAAACAGGCTTGTTAAAGAATACGTGACCAGAGGTAAAACACAAAGACAAACATCCTATTCCTTTTCTGTGTTTTGAATATTCAATGTGTATGACAAATGTGTCAACATACATGATTGTTTCTAAGTATTATTTTAGGAGTCTAAAGTCAGCAAAGTATAATAAATCTGCAGTGAGGAAGGTTTTTGGTAGAGCAGATCTGAGATTATTTACAGGCGTGTAAATGTTACCCTCGGGCATTTTGGTACTCATCTACTCAAACTGGTTTGTAGCCACAATGTTGTGTTCAAGAGACGAAAGCAGCTTGTGGAGACATTATTTTTTCTCTGGTGTTTGTGTTTTACAAGATTTTGAAAGCAATTTTAGAAAAAACCTGTGAAATACAAAATTCTTCCTTTGGATAAAAGTGTTGTATAAAGTAAAAATAATTACAGCTCTTCCTGTGAAATAAACTATACATATATAACACAATAAGTGTACTTTATTAACATTACGGTAGCTCATACAGTTTTGCAGTCAGACAGATTTGCATTCTGAAACGATGATGATGATGAAGAAGAAGAACTTACCTGTCAATGATTATTTCTTATTTCTTGTCTGTGTTTTCCTGTTGGCGTTCCCGCTGTGGTGTGAGGATGAGACTGGCTGTGTGAGTCTTCAGTAGCTCTTATATGCTTCACAGGATACTTTCATAACTTCTCTCTTGATTTTAACTGGCTTTTTATCACATATTGTTTTTACCTTGTCCTGCCAATAATCTTTCACTCCTCCCACTGCTTACTTTTTTTTCTTTTCTTTTATTGTTGCGCACCTATAATGTGCAAACACAAGGAAACTTTTTTATGGGCTATAGTCGTTAAAATGGCCCTAAAACTTCTTGGGCGTGTACATAAAGATTAAAATACAAATTTTACGAGTTTTTTTTCTCGTATTTACTTTTAGTAGCTTTTATATGTTCCTGCCAAAACCCTTTTAATGGACTTTTAAAGCCTATAATTGTAAATCCAATCTAAAAAATACAAAAATGTATGGAGCTCATCTTGTATGATTTGTTTCATTACATTATTACATAAAATGCTCATCATTGTATCCTGTAATGTATTTACAAGGGGACAAACTTCAAGCTGTTTTGATGTTTTGTGAAGAAAAAGACATGAATGTGTCAATAGAGTTTGGAGAAATATTTCCTTGTGGACTCCCTTGTTCCTGTTTTCCATTAACGTTAGAGGACTGACTGTAACCACAGACCAGTGCAGTGGTAGGATTTATAGTAATATATAGTTCATGCAACTACAAGTAAAACAAAAAGACAAATAAAAAAACATAAACCTACTAAATCCCCAAAGTACCTATAATAATATTCAACAATATTAATTCATCCTAAGACAAAGACCTATTATTCTGTAACTTCCTAATGATTCCAAAAATTCTAGTTAATAAAATCTTGATTACTTATTCCATTCAAAGATGAAAAATAGGTTTTGGTTAATGTTTGTTAATAATCAGAAACACGAATACAGAAAAAAAAAAAGCAAACTACGAGGTAGTTCTAAGCTATTAAAAACTAAATGTAGAAAGGAAAAAGTAAATACCAGAACCAAAAGACAACACTAGAAATGGATCATACAAGAAAAAAACTGCTCTTCCCCAATGTTACTTTGTTTTCATGTTACTTATTTGATATTTTCTTTTTTATTATTATAAATTATAGCATACTAGTTGGTAGAACAGTTTTGACTGAAGCCAATTTAGACACTTTTTACTATATGATTGGATTGAAATCTCAATGTTCATGCCTCACCATCTTACAAACCTAAAGGGATTTTTATATCATATAAATAAGGCATGTTTAAGTGAAACATTAACTAGTTTTGTTTATATGTAAGAAACTGAGCTGACCACAGCAGCAATAATTGTTGTTGATGTCAAGCTCCTTTTAAATTAAACACTGCGAAATAAAACTTCATATATTAAACCAACATCTTAGTTTAAAGGGGCAAGAACACTGGGCAAGATGTTGATTCTGGAGCTATAGTGACCTTTATGTCAGTTTTGTCATAGGTTTTATGTCAGTGACAATGATTAAACTCAGTCTATAATGGAATGACAATATGTTTTACAATGTTTATATTTGTTGTAAGGTTTAGTTAACAGCATTTCCTTTTGAGATAATTTGAGAAAACTAATTTCCCGAAAGAAACCATGCTATATCTATGTCTATCCCAGCCGACTTAGGGTGAAGGCAGGGGACACCCTGGACAGGTGGCCAGTCTATCACAGAGCTATACTTAGAGACAGACAACCAAGCACACTCACATTCACACCTACAGACAATTGTAGAACCACCAAATAACCTCAACATGTTTTTGGACTGTGTGGGAGGAAGCCAGAGAACCCATGCAGCACGGGGAGAACACGCAAATTCCACGCAGAAAGATGCCACGCGTCCTTACTGGGACATGAACTGGGGATCTTCTTGCTGCGAGGTGACGGTGCTAACCATCGAGCCACCTTGCAGCCCCCATACTATATCAATACATGTATAAATAATTTTGTAACTAAAGTTTTGTCAGAGTATGAACGATTGCCCATCTGATAGTGTTGCTATACAGGAGGAGCTGAGGGTGACAAATGAATCAGTGTCAGGTTTAAAACACCAGCAAGCGGGGCAAATATGAAGGAGGAACTCAGGGTTCTGGATGCTCTTTTGCATATGTGTACATGTTTGCATAAGTCATTCCTTTTTTCCCCGCTAGAGAGAAGCATAGGTCAACTGAAGTAAAGTTTTCAGATTAGTTATTCGTTAACTGCAGTGTGTTGTTCTGCACATGTACTGTTTTATAATAACGGAAGACTGACAGCAGATATCCCACCTAGTTATGCTGTTAATGCTCTTATATCAGAATTCGATTTCCTTCTGTCCTCTCTCAACCTGAGCTCACACTGAAAGCTTAATAAAACTCAAGGCCTGTGTCTGCAAATCCTGTTTTCATTCTTTGACGGCATCCTAAATCCTTCATGTGATTTTAACCGAGCGTATTCTGTACAGTGTACAGTGCCACGTGAGGCATGGCTCCTACAAAAATGTCAATCTTTTTTTCTCATGTGTTTTTTTTTCAAATGCGTTATAAGCCCGAGAGTTGTTCTGTTTTTTGTTTGTTTTTTTTATTATCACCGAATGCTCAGTCTATACTAGGCTGTAATATCCACTCTTAAAGACAGCGTGCGCAGTTTCAGTAAAGATCAAAGGTTGGCAGCAATTGCGTATTGGTGTACTCTTAGAAGAACGTGCGTTTTTGTTATATTGCACAACTGACTAGCTGGTAACCTTTATAGCCTGCTGTACACACACACACACACACACCTATAGCCTCTTCAACAGCAATGTGTAAGCCAATTGCTGCACTTGTGACTCCTCTCATAGTGAAGGTTGAGATCTGTTTGATCGCTTGTACTTTGTCACAGAAATTGATTGAAGCTAAACCTGACTCTTGCTGCTATAACGAGTGCTAAATATCCACACGTAACACACTTACAGCTTGTTTCAAATCAGCCCTGTTGCTCTGTCCAGGTCATTTATTAACATATATTTTATAGTTACCTGCAGATGCTTGGGGAAAAAATAATGTTTAGGTTCTAGAGCCATGTTAGATAAAAAAAAGGATGAGGCCATGCTTGTGTGCTTGTGTGTTTGGTTATTCGACAACTAAATAAAGAGAGCGACTCCAGGGGTGGTCAGTGTTCAAAGTACAATCAGCAGCAGATAAGATCAGGGGCTAATACATACACAACATACACTTCATGGCTGCCCTGCAAGCAATTGATCAAAGCCTGCAGAGTTTTTGCTGTCAGAGCTCCTTGTACACACCGTGCAAACAGGCATTCCTCATCAGATTACCACTGAGCCCTGCAAGACTGCTCACATAAACCCACAAACCTAAATATGTAACAAAACATGTCCACAAAGCATTTGCTTGCACAGATATGCAAACACAATGTTTTTCCTCCAAGATGCATTTATCAGCGCTACTTTGAACCTTTTTATCAAAAAAGACTTTTGTTGTTTCCCACTCCCTCTTCTCTGCCTTTATGGTCTCACCGCCCCATTCTTCGAAACCTCACTATTTAATTAATAACTTCGAAGGAGTGCATGTGTTGTACTTCTAAGCCCGGGTAGGTCGACTGCCCCTCTTACCCTTGCACTCTCTTTCCTCCCCCCTTCCCTCCCCCTCTTGCTTGCTCCCTCCCTCCCTCCAGTGTTATGTAGCTTTTCTCCCTTCTCTCTCCCTTCTGTCTTCTATTTCTGTGTTTGAATGGAGAAGCTGGGTTCCCCAGGACCTGCACACCCCTTGCAGGGTGAAGGGCCCGTTGCTGGGGTTTCTGTTGCCAAGACGGCAGGGGTTGTGGGAGATGAGGAGGCGACGCTGCCCAGCTCAAAACTGTTTCGGTGTGCATGTGTGAGGCGTTGGCTACCACTGGTCTACAGAGAAGAACTTCACGAAGTCTTACGACTCACAGGCCCACTGGTGAGTAGGGTAAAGTTGAAGTGTTAGTAAGGAGGGGCAGTCGCATGTTGTTCACAAAGTGCCGTGATTGCAGTACGTTTAGTTACTGTAAACCTGTGCTGCAAAATTACTGTTTAACATCCAGTGCCACATAATGCAATCTAACAGTGCAATCAGTTACCACCTCTGAAGTATTTTTGTGCAGCGTGTAGACTTCACGTGGATAAGAACTGGTGTCAATACTTGCTGAGTGACAGTGCAAACTAGCCTGTGCCAAGTGATTTCACAATATACTTTTCTGAGTACTGATACGATGCTTGAACACAGTTGACAACAATTTGCTGCATTAATTTCACCTGATCAGTGATGGGCTGTGTGCGAAGTAGTTACATCTTTGTGTTTATTTGTACAGGTGCTGTCTCGCATTCTGAGCTTTCTCCAGCAGTTTGTCATCAGCATATTCTGTGGTCACATTGGCAATGCAGAACTGGCTGGATATGCGTTGGCTGTTGCGGTATGATCTATATTTCTTTCAAGTATATATTATGTATTTTAGCCGCTGTAACTGAAGTAGTGCAACTAATATTATTTCACTTTTTAGTAACTCTAATACTGCTGCGCCTACTGCTGTTACTATAACACTACTTTTCTCTACTACTCAGAATAAGAATTAAATAAGTATCTTGTGCATGTTTGGAGCATCAGACTGCTTAAGAAAGACCCTTGTTTCTACCAGAAAGCATTTACAAGATGGTTTCATAAACCCTGCCCTCCTGTGTGGTCATGAGACAGTGTTAGATATTGAAATGTACGTGCGTATCAGATCTGGATTGAGTATGTTTGCCCTATAATAAAGGCTTAGCAAGTTCTTTGCTAACTTGTTAGCAAACGCTTGTCACTTCTTTTTTCATATCCTGCAAACAAAGCAACATGCAGATCCACTGGACCTTTTTAAATTTCAGCTTTCACTTAAAGACTGAGGTCTCTTTTGCAAGACCTGAGATCAGAAGTAGAATCGTGATGAGATGAGAGTGTAACATAGTCAAACATTTTTGATGCACAAAGACAACACTAGCCTGAATTTAGTTCCCCATTTTGCCTCACTTTGGCTTGCTATATGTTCGACGTCTTTCTTCGGACAGTCATAAACATGAAGTGTGCAGTTCTGGAGAAAGACTGTTTATATTTAGTTAGCTTGCATCTCTCTTGTTCATATGTCCCACCTTCCTTCCTGCTCTCCTATCCTGTGCACGAGCTTGAGCATAAAAAGGATAGTTGCATAGATTGGTCTGAGCCACTTTTTCTTCGTTTCCTGGTGACAGAGCAAGGCTTCTGTATGGGATTAACACTGGATTATTTCTGCAGTGCACACGCGAAACAGACAGCCAGCAAACTATCGGAAAATATTTGCAGAATTTGGTACAGTGACCAGTGCTTTTACATCTATAAGGTCCTGAGTTTGAACAATGACTGGAGCCTTTCTATGCAGACTTGTTCTTCCTGTGCCTGCCTACTGTTTTTTTCTTTTTCTCCGTATGTGTCCTCCTACAGTCCGAAGACATGTGTAGGTTAATTAATGACTTAGTTGACTGTTTTTAGACTTTGCTGCGAGTGTGTATGGCTGTCCGTCTCTTTGTGCAAATGTCAGATCCATGTTGATTTTCTGTGGCAGCAGTGTATTAACTCATCGTCTCCGAATACAGTAATTCAATCATACATATTAGTTATGGACATAAACAAAATATACATGAATAGAAGATTTTACACATTTAATAACTAAAGTCTAACTCATCAGCTTCTGTTCTTCACCTCTCAGACCCTTCACGTGACCACAATTGCACCAGGATATGGCCTTGCTGTGGCTTGTGACACACTCATTTCTCAGGTGAGCAAACCACATAACGTGTGCATTATTGTCATTGCATGTAATCCACCAAAAAGGCTTTCATTTTGAACCGGTGTACTCATTCGTTTGCATTTTCTAGACATATGGCGGGAAGAACTTGAAACGTGTGGGAGTAATTCTACAGCGGAGCTCACTGATCCTGCTGCTGTTTTGTGTGCCATGTTGGGGTCTTCTCATAAACTCTCAGAACTTACTGCTCGTCATGCACCAAGAGGATGAGGTGGCGAGGTAAATACTGTTGAAGACAAACTAGTGGGTTATTTAGGGAAAAATACACACATCTTTATCTTTAGTGACATGGCTGTTATGCTTGTCAGCAGAGATGGCGATATTATCTTATACTGTAAGTTCAGCTTTGTTTGTATATTTATCAGGGTATTGGATCAGCATTTGAGTTCAAGTATAGTTCCCCTACAGTTGTATATTAACAGTTTTAGATGCTTGGATATGTGAATCCACCATTTAATTTTTCTATTTACACTAGACAACAAAACAGAAATTTAATGTGAACACATACCTTTTATATCACATACATTGATGGGTGAATATAAGAACCGAAAGAGAATTAATGCCATTGTGTTTGCTCTACTAAATGAATATTACTCTGTTTGTGTCCCCTTTAGAATTGCCCAACTTTATGTGATGATGTATCTGCCAGCTATCCCAGTAAGTGCAATGAATTGAAAGACTCTCTAGAGCATGAGAATTACAGCGCGTTCTCATTTGTTCACAGCCAAAGTCCATACATTGTATATTAGTAAATTACATTTTGCGTCAGTAAAGCAATTAAGGAAAAGCTCTACAAGCTACATCTTTGCAATAATGGGGATAAAATCAGCTGCAGACTTTTTAATGGTTGTAGTCAAACAAAAGTTTATAAATGCTCAAAGCAAGACAAGCAACTCATCTCTGTTCATCATGTGGTGCCAATTACCTCCTTAATTTGACTGAGATAATCCAGTTAAATGACTGGTGGATAAGATTTATAGTTAGCAGAAATGAAATGCAGTATTCATAATAATATTTTCACTAGTGTATAATCACTTGTACCTACGAACTGCTGTGTTTTTATTAGCTTAGAATGAGCTCTTTATATCTACAGTGGGAGTCACTTCTCTTTCACAGAGCCCACCATGTTGGTCGGCCATGCTTCTACAATGGCCCAGAATGGACAAACCAAACACTGACAATAATCTTGTTCATAGAACATTTTGAAATGCACAAGCAGCATAGTTTTGATACACATAGTGGTATTGACAGGTGAATTACATACATCAGATGCTTGTTTGTGAATTCTGTATGCGATCCAGAATGTCTGTCACTTTTATTTTTATAAATTCTTCTTGTTCTTTGCTACAGGCCTTGTTCCTGCACCAGCTGCAGGTTTCCTACCTGCAAAACCAAGTAAGCTCATGAGTGGACACAAGTGTGCTTCTGCAGCACCGAAGATCTGTTCTTCCTTTACCTAAAATAAATTCAGGGAAAGGTGGCTCCAGAGGTGACAAAAAAAAGAAAAAATTCTCATGTCCCTTTGGTAAATAGTTTTCATATGACAAAAGATATCACGCTGAATCATGTCAACAGTTTTTCCAAGCTAGTGACTTTATGTGTTGGTTGGGTTTTCTGATGCATCTTACTGACTGTGATTATCATCTGGTGTTTCCTTTGGTGGCATTACTAGGTTCACATTTTTAGTGAAATGTAACACATCTGGTTAGATTTCAATGAAATTTGGCTCAGACATTTATGTCAGGATGAATTGCAGTGACTTTGCTCAGCTTTTTATCTCGTGCCACCAAAATTCTATATTTTTTTCACTACTATTGTTCAAGTAACTGCAAATATTCTGCATCAGTTGCACTTTGTCTTTAGGGCTGATTATATGCTAAAATGCAAAACTAAGATGGTGTACCTGCTAAACATCAAGCAGTGGCATTTGTGCCTACATTTACAGTGTCAGCAAACTGATAGCATGGCTGTAGCTTCTTAGCCTTGTTACCACTGGAGTATGACCTCAGTTTGTTTACAGGAAGCAAACAAAATCAATTACATTTTGGTTTGTCCTTATTGCAGATAACCTATATAAATAATGTTGTGATTTGAGCTCGACAGACTCAGATTGCTAATTATGGATTCCATGTCTTTTCTATGTGTCAGGGGATCATTCTGCCTCAGATGTACACAGCAGCAGTAGCAAACGTCCTTAACTTAGCATTCAACTACGTGTTAATCTTCAGCCTGGACCTGGGTGTTGTGTAAGTGTATCATGCTGCTTCTCCATACCCTTTCATGTTTGATGGACTTTGTATTCATACATATTGTATCAGGGTTTAAGCGGCTTAACAGCTAAAATATACAAGTTAAGCATCTACAGCATTAAAAGCAGAGCAACTTGCTTTCTCCTGTCCAAAGAGGAGAGGCTAATGTGCAGATGCATAGCCAGGAGTATGGAAAGCGGAGGACATTAGGTCAGAGCACGCCTTACGCATTTTATGTATTCATCTCAGAGAAACTTTTTTTTCCTTTTTTTCTTACAACTGAGTCAGCAGAGCCCTGGTGTTTATTATTTTAACGTCATTTAGGAGAGAGGGGGAGACTGCAGAGGACAGAGAAAGAGGAAAGAACACTGGAAGGACTTGATCTTGTTCCAGCTGGACAAACATTAGATACATCGGGCAGTCAACTTTAACCAACTAGGTGTTTACAGTTGGGCCCTGTTTCTCCCTCACTTTCCATATCAAACATGGACTCCTGCTAATTGTCAAGGGATATTATCAGACCCTTAGAAATCCAGTACGCTCAAACTGTTTCAATCCACACTTCCTCTGAATGTGGTCCTTGTCCATGTCTCTGCCTAGAGACAAGGTGGAACCACATTTATCGTTGACTGTTACTAGATATCCTTCCGTAAATATAAATGTAGATGTAAAGATGTTCTATGTGTGTTTGCAGTGGATCAGCAATTGCGAACAGCCTCTCTCAGATCACCATCTGCCTGCTGTTGTTTGGCTACATCAGGTGGAAGAAGCTCCATCGGCAGACATGGGGAGGTGAGTTCCACACACAAAAGGTAAAATCAAATACTGAATGACCAAATCTGCATTTTATTCCATCTGACACTTTTTGCAGGCTGTACCACTGATTCTCTACAGGAATGGGGCTCTTATATGAAGTTGGCTCTCCCCAGTGCATTAATGATCTGCTTTGAATGGTGGATCTGGGAAGTTGGAGGTTTTCTTGCTGGTCAGTGTCACACACAAACACAGTCATGTTTCCCTCACTTCAGAAGATACCTTGACTAACCCTGAAATCCAACCATACCCATAACTACTAATCCCTAAATCCCTAATCCTCACTCAAGTACATGCACTTGTTTAGGTCTTTCCGTCAGTGTTTCTCTAGTTTAGTGGGGATTGCATCAAAAGTCTCAAAATGTTGTGTAATTTTCCTATATAAAATGTGTTTGTATAGATTCTCAGTTATCTAGGTCAAGGTAATCCTAAATGCTTAAGCAGAAGGTAACTGCATTTGTTTTGGTTGCTGAGGATGTTTTACCTCAAATCAACAACATTCTAGTTCAGATATGTAGAAGTGCATCAAAATCAAAACCCAAGAAGTGGAAGCCTTCATGAACATATCAGCGAGAACACAAGAGAGCTGGACAAGACTCAGCAGTCCACCTTTATCTATACGACAAGGGGAAACTGCCTTGAGGGTAACAATGTTCACATTTTGGACAGAGGAGACAGATTGTTTGAGAGAGAAGTGAAGGAAGCCATCTATTTTAAACTGGAATAACCACCCCTAGCTAGTGGAGACGGACCACTGCACCACCTATCAGCCACATACAATGTGGTGCTGACATCTCTCATTAGACAGTTTCACCTCCATTCACATCTGAGTTTTGAGTGAGTAACAACCAGAAGGTTCCCTTAAGAAGTAAAGACCACCACTCAGTACTGAATAAACACTACTGGATGAGAGGTGAAATGCCTTCAAGAACCAAAAAGAAATTCAGTTGCCTTCTAATTAAGTACTTAATCATGCAATACACATAATGGCCTAAAATGTTGTTTTTTTTGCATCACATTCCACGGATTATACCATACTATTATATTGTACATACTTATTTCCACCTAGTATTTGCTCTGCGCAACTCAGTGAATGAATCATTGCTCTTTAAATGCCATTACAGTGTCTTTCTTACTTTTTACTTTGACAAGGGAATTGTTTGCAAAGGGATAAGTATAAGACATTAAGAAGACCTCCAAACTCTAAAGAACAAAACAACAACCCCCCCCCCCAAAAAAAAAAAATAAATAAAAAAAACAAACAAAAAAAACAAAAAACCAAAACCCATACGTCGGTTAAAGACGTAAACAATAGAGCTTCCTTTTTAGCCATAAATGTGAAGCTGCAGCTCCCCAATCCCCTGAAAAATGAGGTGTCACAGATCCAGGTCATTTGTCCAAAAAACATTCTGGTCTTGAATACAAATACTCTCCTGTAGGTTCATAACAAATGCAAAGGTTAAGAGAATAATCCAAGAGAGTGAGCTTTATTATTACATTTTTTGTCTCTGTATGTGTACAATGTCCTCAATGCATTGGTGTAAAATTCTTCATTGTGGCTTGCTCAGGTGGTAAGACAGTCTTTGTGAATGTCTGAGTCTGATCATGATGTCTTAATCTTTATCATATCAGGTGTACTTGGTGAGGAGGATCTTGCTGCCCAGCACATCATAGCGGAAGTAGGAGCCATATCATACATGGTATGACTTAGTTGTGTATTTACTAGAACTTTGAAATGCATCTTATTAGCAACAATAGTTCTGCTTTTTTGGAAATGTGCTTATTCATTAGAAGATAAGTACCAAATGTAAGTGACACCAAAACCAAATATGTGGTCCCTGCAGTTCCCTTTTGGTATCCATGCAGCTGCCTGTGTGCGTGTTGGGAATGCTCTTGGGGCCGGAGACACTGAGAGAGCCAAAGTGACCTGCAAAGTGGCTCTAATTATGGCAGGTAAATACAAACATACATATTATAGAAGTCGACCACTGAAAATTTTTGCTTCCTACTGATTATCATGTGTATTAATAGGACAGCTCTGATGAACAATTGTGAACAAAATTTTACGTATACGTGTAAAGACCATGTGTACCACGGCAGCCTTGGGTTTCCAATGACTTCTGTAACTCTTAATTTTCTGTGATGGAAAGATTGAAATGCATGTGTCTGTCACAAATAACAGTTATGCATTTTGGTTCTTACATAGATTTATGATAGATCTTCTTGAAATATGACAAAATCTGCTGGATCAAAAATATACATACAGCAATGCCAGGATTTGCTGAAATGTTCCTTGGCTACTTTCACCTCAACAAGGCGCTTTTGGTAGTTGTTCACAAGCTTCTGGCAAACTTCTTATTGTATCTTTGACTATACAGTTCAACTAAATTTGTTGGCTTTTTGAGACAGACTTGTTTCTTCAGCACAGGATGAAGACTTGATGGGGTTTAAATCAGGACTTTGTGGAAGCCAGGATAAAACCTTAATTCTAGTCTGAATTAGGCATTTCCTTACACCATTTTTGATGGGTGTTTGGGGTCATTGTATTGCTAAAACACCAAACTGCAGACCCAACCTTCTGGCTAATGATTTTAGGTTTTCCTAAAATATGTGGAGGTAATCCTCCTTCTTCATTATTCCATTAATTTTGTGTAAAGCACTCGTTTCACTGGCACCAAAACAGCCCCAGATTGTAATACCACCACCACCACCATGCTGGACTGTAGGCTTGATGCTCTTGGGGTTAAAGGCCTCACTTCCTCTCTTCCCAATATATTTCTTGTCACTGTGGTGAAATAGCTCAATTTTGTTTCATGTGACCACAGAACTTCCCTCCTAGTATTTGTGGCCAAGTCCTATGAGTGTATCAAATGGACCCTATTTAAATAGGCTCAGAGACATCAGCAACTGTAGTCAATTACAATCACTGACAAGAAGTTAAGAGGTCATGTCACTAACAAAATTTGATTGACACAACTTTTTTACATCACCAAAACTGATGATTCAAGTGGCTGTGTGTATGTTTTTGACCTATATTTGGTCATTGTTTTAAAGATCTTTAATACATGTATAAAATAAGCAAAATGCCAGATTGTCTTTTGCAACAAAGACACATGGGTTTCAGGCATTTCATCATAAAAATTAAGAGCTGTCGGAGTCGTTGGAAGATCAAAACTGCCACTATGACCTGCATAGTTTTTACAAGTGTATGTGGGAACAGTGTGACTTTTATTTCATTGACTACAACTTGTCAGGTATTGTGCCTCATGTAATGTCCTCGCTATAGGAAGTTTTGCTGTGCTCCAGAGTATTGTCATTGCAAGCACTAGGTCTGTAATGGGCTACATATTCACCTCAGATAGGTGAGTTTCTGACCAACGCACGTTCATTTCTGTGATATTCAAAAGCAACTCTGTTTTGATTGTTTTATTCTACTGTCTGCAGCACAATTGTGGAGATTGCATCAGGGGGCCTCACAGTCTACACCTTTGTACAATTCTTCGATGCACTTTTGGTACGTCACTACAGAAGAGGACAAACGTCTTTCCCTTGTTTTACACCAAACAATTGTGCTGAATAATACACCTGTTATTCAGTGTCTTTTTTTCTCTTCTTTTCTGTGTGTTGTTTCAGTGTGTCAGCACAGGGATTCTTATAGGGTCTGGGATGCAGAAATTTGCTGCCTGCATCAACTTGGTGAGCTACTACTGCATCGGCCTGCCAGTGGGAGTAGCTCTGATGTTTTTTGCCAACTTGAGGATATTAGGTAACTCTCTCATCCTGTTCTATGTATGTCTTTGCAAACACATTATAGATTAAATGTGTGGTGCCTTCATCACCCAGAATGCAACTAAACTGCTGACAGTTTAAGATTCAGGTGTGATATGTATCCTCAACCTTTGGCCCTGCAGCCTTTTTCGAAACTCCTCCAGACCTGGCAAAACAAACTGTGATGTGATAAATTGGTGAAATTCCCCCTTAAGTTGGGTTTTTAAATGCCTCATATTTACTTAACAGCACTTATAAAACCTATAACTTCAGGCAATCAGGCAACCCCATGTGTTATAGGACAGCTAAAGTAAACAGGCAAGTCTCAAAGGTGAGGGTAATTTGTGCTAATATGTTTTCTTTTGTTAATAAATTCAGTTGCCCACTTGCCCCAGATGCCATAGCAAAGATATTTCTTACTTTTCCGACAAACAGCACCTTAGAAATATGCCTCTGGGAGTTGAAAATAAAGTAGCGTGTCTATATTTAAATTGAGAGTCATTAGTTAAACCCACAAATCCCTGGTCCTGCTGTACCAGGCGTTCCTTAATTTCCTTCTCGACAGGCCACCATTTACCCCCTGCTGGAGTGGAGCTCTGTGCTGTCCACTCAAAGTCTGCATGTACTGATGAAAGCATACAAGCACACACATACACATGCACATACTAAATGTGCATCCTCTGTCTTGCATGCATCTGTGTTTCCTCTGGTGACCCACGAAGAAATCTGTGATAAGCAAATGTGTTTGGAAGATTGACTGATGCTTTTTAAAGTGGATTGAAATATTTGTAATTCGAATAGCTGCAGGGACTCTAAGGTATAGCTCAGGCAATATTGTAAGAAAGACTGATTCACAATGCAGACATGCAACATGTTTGGAATTCAGTGTGAGCATATCATCTCACATATCTAGGTTGTCCGTATCTTTTAATACAATATTACATATGCTGTTTGTTTTTCTTGATGACCAGTTTTATTTCTAGGGTTCATACATACATCCATTATCTATACACCACTTAATCCTCACTAGGGTTGCAGGGGGGGGGGGGTCACCAGTCTATCACAGGGCTACACTTAGAGACAGACAACCAAGCACACTCACATTCACACCTACGGACACAGAAAGATCCCCACTGCCCCCACTGGGATGTGGACTGGTGACCTTCTTGCTGCGAGGCAACAATGCTAACCAACTGTGCCACCTTGCAGCCCCTTATTTCTAGGGTGTATAAAGTAAATACACTGTTTATTTTTCTTTAACCTGTGTGTTTGAATTTTTGTCCCTCTTTTTAGGCTTTTGGTTGGGTATCATTGTGTGTTCCTCCATTCAGACGTGTTGCTTCATTGGTCTGATCTTTAAACTCAACTGGAAAAAAATCACACACAAGGTGGGATGCTCTTATGTTTCTTTAAAATCACAGAATTATTTGTGCTGTTCTTTCTTCCTCTTTTTTTCTCCCTGAAACCGGACCCTCTGATTCTTATCAGGGAAGATAAGGCCTCTGCTGCACACCAAGGCATCAAGCTGGCTTTCCAGCATAAACTGAATGTGGATGAGAGATAGATCTTGAAACATGAAACAGGACACGATTTATATATAAAATACAGTAAAAGCGTGAATTTAAGTAGCAAAATATGGAATTTCCATCACAATAACGTTGGTTGTTTTGTGAATCCTATCCTGGCTATTAAAAATGCATACCAATTATCTGTATGTGTCTCTTGAACTTTACTCAGGCTCAACAGCGAGTTGGGGTGAAAATAGCAGTGACACCAAAATGTTCTGCTGGTACATCATTGAATGAAGCGATGCTGCCGGTTGTCTCCGACTCCCCAGACACCGTAAGTAGATGTGCAAACTACATGGTGTAAAGTCTGCCAGGGTTTTCTCACTTTGTCTTGTCATATTGGAGTTCACCAATAACAACTGCATCTTTGCACCCTGAAGGCCCAGCTGAACAGCGATGGAACTTCTAAAACCAATGTCTACAGCCCTGTCAACACCCAGGATCAGGAGCGGAAAGTGGTTCATGAGGCTGAGGGCAACAATATTAGCACAGAAGGCGCTGAGAGGGATTCAGAGCAGAGCAAAAACACCAAACCTGAAAAGCTGCTCTCTACCAGTCAGCTGATCTTGCGTCGGGGATTCACCCTTTCGCTTGCAGTTCTTGCTTTGGTTGTAGGTATTGCTTTCCACATTGCTTTTCCACCCCCGGAGCCCAGAGCTCAAGGCTGGGCCAACTTCACCCAGAACTTCACCAGTGACTTCACCCCTACACCACTGATTTTACTAAACCAAAACGTCTGAGTTATCTCTGACCTCCTAATGTAGACTTTTTGTGGCTGTTCTCACAAACAGCCAATTTGTTCCTCGGGAGAGAAATATTTAATTCCTCTGAAGTTGTACACCTTCTCATAAACCTGGGCTATTTTTTATTTTATTTTTTAAACCAACCATTAGCATGGCCTAATGGTTTTATTTTTTGCCGAGAAACATGTCTCAGTGCTGCACTTTTCAGTAAATGCACAGAAAGCAGGATGAAATATCAAATAAGACTGAAACCGGTTGGATGAAGAAAGGTCTTGTTACAGAGATAGTGTTTTCCCGCAGATAGTTTGATTGTACAATGTATTCTTGACTTGATTTACATATTGCACTGCATTGCTTACTGACCCTAAATCATTCACTTTTAACTTTAACTTCAGGATTGACTGTAAATATCTGATGTAAAATTTACATTTGTGCATATAAATATGTAATATACAGTGTAACTGTATGGGCAGTTGGTACATCATTGCTGCATTGTCTTCCTGTAAAACTGTCACTCTGTCTTGTTATTCTTTAGGATAGAGGTGATTGATAAAGATAAGCTGCTTGTATTAATTTAATGTACTGTAGTAGTGCACTAATCAATAAAAATTACATTTAAAGTGTGTAATAATGAAATGATCACATATGGTGGATGACAAAAGTAAAAATATTTCATTATATAACATGTAATTCACTCTTACTATGATTCACATTATTGAGATCCACCTGCTAATTTCACAGCATCCAAGAGCAAAATGCTTGCATAATAAATGCTAAAACAGCCACTTTCACATGAGATAGGTTTGCCAAAGAAACAGACCATAAGAAGCACAAAACCCAGATTAAAATGTCATTAGAATCCCTATGAATAAATGTCACAGAGGTCTAGTGCTGGGACTACTGACACAACCACGGTTTTATTAAAATTCTGCGCCTACATACTGTAGTTCATATTATTTAGCGGTGGTAATGTTTAAAATAATGGCTTTTAGTACTGTATCTGCAAAGGCTCACAAATTGCATTTAAAGAAGGTGCAGCACAATGATTGGAGAAAGGCAGGCTGCTTGTTTAGTTGATATAGTAACTCAGGAATGTGGGTTGTTAAATAACATGAAAACTGAAACCTTAAAATTAATTAAACCATCTCATGATAGCAAAATGAATTAGCCACTATAGACCTGGTGTCACTGACCTTTATTACGGCAATCAATCCTGAATCAACAAAACTGTTACACAACATATGATGACATATGCCAGTACCAGCAGCAGTAGTGTATAGTATTTGACTCTAGATTACTTATTATAGATCATCCATGTCAACTTTTCAGACTGTAAAGCCCTCACATGTTAGTGTTTGTGCATATGCCAGTAGTTTGTGACTACGTTTCACTGCAATAATATATAATATATAATATTAATACCAACAGCCATGAAGCAACGGAGTCCCAGATATATTATGGTGGCACAACCAAGAAGTTCTTTAAGCTACTAACTTCTAATCTAAAGATACTGACAGCAAATCTTCACGCAGTCACTTGTCACTTGTTAATGATGCCACAGCATGTCACTGATTGCTGTCTCTGGAGGTGAGCGGGACAAGATTATGATCTCTGTGAGGAGCCTGTGGCAGTATCTCCGCTGATGAGCAAGACTGAAGCTCAGACGATGATGTAAGCGCCTATGAATCAAACCTGATTTACATGTTGAATAACGATAAATTAATATGCAAGTTTTTATGTGACTGTTCAGTCAACGTCAGTCTGTTGCAACTCCGGTGGCTTGTGGGAGCACCGGCTTCATAAAGGCCAGAGTGGAAGCTTTAAAGGAGACCTCGCTGACGTCAGAGCTCTATTGAAGTTAGCACTTACGGAAATGAATGAACCAAAATATGCAGTGGTTAAAAAAAAAAATCCCAAAAAACAAAAACCCTTGATGAGAGTCTGAGTGTCGCCTAAATTTAAGTATGACTGTACCATAAAAATGAAGCTTTCAGCTGATATGTGCTTCTGTAAGCAACTGAAAAAAAGAAGATGGATACTTACTTTTAGAATCTTAATCAAAAATATGTTAATTAAGGCTACATGAACAAAAATGCAATGGAGGTTTAATTCATCTGTGGAAACGTGTAGGTCACGTGCCATTCAGACACACACACACGTATATATACAGTACACACATGTAAGACAAGCTGTTATGGAACCAATGTGATCTCTTTTGCTACTCATTGATCCTAAGGCAGCATTTTGGATCAACTGTAGGTTAAGAACACTGGAGGCAGATTTGCCTACAGTTAGGATGCTCAGGTGACCATGAAACATCCCTTAGTCATGCTGTTATAAGCCTAGAGTGCTGTGAGACTTCCCATGATGCACTGAGCGCCTCTCCTCTGCTCCTCTGCTCGTCTCTCTCTGTTTCTTGCTCCATGCGTTTATATGCCACTATTACATGTCACTAACTTTGTCATCTCTCTCCTGTAGTTTGTGTAAGTTCAATAAGGAAGGTATGTTAAGCCATTCCGCTCTGCAAATACAGAGTATTCCTGCTGCTCTTTTTGTGCCCTACAGTGGCTTATATTAAAATTAGTGCTACATATAGATATATAAAAAAAAGCCATTATTGAATTGTTAATTGTTTCTACACTTTATATGCTTTCAGGCTGTGGTATCGCTCATTTCCCAAAATGCCAACCCGCTACTTTATTGCCTGTGTAGAAACACCTCATATTCGGATATTGCAGGAAATCATACACGATTAACTGCATGCCGTTAACCCGAGTGAATTCTTGATTTGTGAGCAGGTTTTAACTGCGAAGGCTGAGCTAGCTAGTTATCTGCTCCTGCAGAAGGGAACAGGTGGTTGATTTGTTCAGTTTGACATGTCTTCATCCAGCCAACATGTTGCAGCGTGAGCGTACAGACCTTTCATTATCATCAAATTTGGCAACACAGATCAAAGGAAAGAAAAATAAACCAAAGAAAAAGAGCAGCCGTTCTGTCTTTGATGATGAAAGCACACATCCACGGATGCGCTGTAGCCTAAATATAACATTTAATCATGCTATTTCTAATTGTGGCATCCATTCAGACTATATATTGTGAGAAAATAAATTTCTCCAGTGTCTTGATTGGACCCCATCTTACACATCATGTTTCTATATAAAGAAGACATGCCTGTATATTTTTTTCAGTTCAGCTTTTGATTGGTTGTCTAAATAAAATCCTGCTTTTTTTAAAATAGATTTTCCACATGCGACAAACTTCAAACGTGACTGGGTTTGACTATGAAATAGGCAACCGCTATCAGAAAATGTTCCGTAACTTTAAAAGACATTTCCTTATGTGGTAATTTCAGGAAATACAATTATCATCTAATTGACCTCCAACAAATGTGTTGGACTTTTATAATGTTCAGTAATTACTGGTCATTCTAATGCAGTGATTTTCACTCTTTGGTCATAAGAGCAGAAACTGGCTCCACGAAAGAATTTTTGATTATAAATGAGTTAAAATGAGGCATTTAAAAGCTGCTTCTTCTCTGTCGTCCTTGTGAGGGCAGACGTGGTTAAGAACAAGTCTTGGTTAATATCCTTCGGCTTTACGAGATGCGCTTTACAGTAACACATGAAGATGCACCTGTACTCTCAGAAGTATTTTTTTTATTTCATGCTGCACACACATACACGCAGTCTAATTATGGTGTCTCATCTAATTCGAGCAGCCTGACGAGCAGCTCACTGATGACGACTCCAGCGGCAAGGATGACGAACATGAGCAGCACAGAGAAGCCACGTCGTACCACCAGCTGCCTGACTGACAAAGCCTCGCCAGCTGAAGCCTGCTGACCTGATTCGAGCGCTTCCAGCTTTTCCTCCACTGGACTCAGAGAACTGGATCGACTAGTCTTCACATGGGCCTGTTCTTCATCAGAGTCCAGGGCTGTGAGAAACAATTTTAATGGAAGGTTAACCTTAGTTGCAAGAAAGATGACCAAATGTAGTTGTAGATAAAATCACTTCCGCTTACTGGAATGTTTCTTCTCTGTAACATGGACTCCTGCTCTTACCAGCGCCTATTTAGACAACAATTAAATCACGATTTTTGTAAAAGACACATAAGGTCGAGCTACAACGTTACAACCACATACGATTTGTATTTTGGAATTTGCACGTATAGGTGTGTTGTATTCCTCTTCTGACAGAGGATGTCACCTGTGGAGTCACTCACCTCCTCCTTGGCTTTGTCCCAGTTGAGTTTCCACAAAAAAACAACAAAAAACGTGGCTAGTACCAAACCACAAACTAGAAACCCCATCCAAAGCCCTGCAACCGAGATCGACAGTGTATAGTTTTAGTTTGAAAGGACATATGACAAAACTATCACTTACTGCATTTGTCTTGTTTCCATACTCACCTACAATGCCCATTTTTAGAGGAAACATCAAAGACACTCCAATGGGGAACCCAATGAAGTAATATCCCACCAAGTTACACACAGCACCAATCTTTTGCTTCCCTGCCCCCCTGACAATGCCTCCTGTTATACCCTGTGGAGGTCAAACAAAGAAAAATCTCACATACGTACCAACAAGTCAGCTTTATTTTGCTCATTGGGAGGACAGAGCAACTTTGTTTTGGAAAGTTCTCACCGTAATTGCCTCAGCAATATGGATGAAACTGTACATCTTTATAACATCTGCCACCCTTTGAATAATGTCTCTAAAAACAAGCAGATGTGAAAATGGAATTATAACAAAACTTGCAGTTATTTCATAACTGCATCTACCATGTGTAGGGTAGTAACTATGCAAAAAGTAAAAATCCAGTTTTCTTGCAGGCAAAGATCAATGTCCTCGGAAGTTAATACATGATGAATTATACACTGACACTATATGAGCTGCCAGTGAGAGGATCCGCATGTTCATCTCTGAGCTAAGAATACATAAACCTATGAATGTTACACAGGTGACAGGCTGTCCTTACTTCTCTGTGGTGAAAATGTAACCAATCACATCCTTAGTTACACCAAGACAGGCTCCAATGAAACACGCGGCAACAGCTGGATTGGGCATAAAAAGCATGTTTGAATAAAAAAACAAGGTGAATATATGAAAGCAAGTGTCAGATGATAGAGAAGACTCACTGTCCCATGAAGAGCATTACAAACAAAAACTGATCACAGAAGCATGCCTTTACTGGTACACTGTGGTGGAGATTTTTGAGCTTCATGTTTAATTCGTACTTGCACAGATCAGCGAGACCTTGCCGGACAGCTTGGCTTGCTCTGCGTTCCCAGCACCAAGAGCGTTTCCAACCCGAACACTCGCGGCAACAGAAAAGCCCATAGGAAACTGTGGAATAGGATGAAAACAATCAGTTTAAAGTAAGATTTCTGAAGTCTAAAATAATTCAGGTGCCCACACAAATCTGACTTTAGTCCACGTAACTGGAAAAGCTGTGTGAAAAATGTAAAGGAGTCACCATGTAAGCGATTGCAGCCAGTTCATAAACTATAGACTGAGCTCCCAACTCAGTTTCGCTGATGATGCCTGCCAGGAAGCCTGCAATCTCATACAGCCACCACTCCAGACAATGCATCAGCATGCTTGGGACAGCCAGGCGGAGGAAAGGACCCCATTCCTGCAGGCAGTCTCTTGACCAACCTCGGAGATAATAGGAAGGATGACAGATTGATTGGAACGTATTTGTACCCATTAAGATGACACATAGCCACGTTACTGTCGTTTCACTGAAGAACTGTGAGACTTTTTAGTGTCTGCAAGGCAGAACTGTCATGCATTAGTGAGAGGTCAGTGTTTGATGACAGACAAAACAAGACTAAATACTGATATTCATACTGTATATAATGCACTTTACTGCCGCTGTTGCACTTCTAGTTAGATGGTGACACTTTATCATACAGATGTGTCATGTTTTATTCCCTTTCTAGGAAATTTTCTAGAATAAATGCAATTTGGGTGCAATCTGATGTGCACCACCTGAAAAGGACAAAGAAATTATAGACACAACAGTGTTCAAGTAGTACACAGCAATTAATTTGTTTTGTCCTAATCTAAAAATGTGAAATGTATCGACAACCAAATGTGCAATTCAACATGTATGAAAATTAAAAATAAACATAAATTATCAATATACACTAAGTTGTTTATCTCAAGCTCAAACCAATGCAGTCTAACGCACACAAACTGTTCATCCATCCATCAGCTATACCCGCTTTGTCCTGCAGAGGGTCACGTTGGGCTGGAGCCTTTCCCAGCGTATGGTGTATGAGAGGCATTGTACACCCTGGATAGTCCACCACAGGACCACAAATTACATCCTCCACACTGATCATAATCACAGTTCATATCTAAAACAGTTAACGCAAAGCTGAGCATTGCGGCTGTTGCAGGACTGCTGTATTAGAGCGCAATGTTTTAGCTGAATGTACCTCAAAAACTGGCAACTTTTATGGGGCATCTATTTTTCACAGGCCAGTAATCCCACAAAACTTCATCTAAACTGACTACAATAACAATCTCAGAACTTTATACCCCCTGATAATTAGCATAAATAAACTTTTTTACTGAAACCATTATCTCTACGCCAAATTTAATTCCCTAAACTTACCGTCCCATGTGGCTTTGTGCAGCCCTCTGAGGCAGATGTAGCCAAACAAGAACACAGCCAAACAATACTGTGAGATGGCATTGGCAGCTGCAGACCCCCTTCAGTGACAACAACAACAAAGGTATCAAAGCAAAGCCTTTAGTCAGTGCCAGTCAATCATTAAAACAATTAAAGAATGATAATACAGTGGGTGAATTAACTATGAGAATGAAAGACGTGTGTACTCACGTGACCCCCAGATCCAGAACGTTGAGGAAGACGTAATTGATCAGTGCATTTAGAACATTCCCCACAGCGCCACTTATCACCTGTGGCCACATGATGCCCTGCGAGAGAACACGCAACACCTGCTCTTTACTTACTTTCCCAAAGCACATTTTTCTTCTCGATGAAGTTATTTTGTTTCACATCGGTAGTGTCGGCAGTCAATAAATGCACCTGATTCTGAAGATACCTCCCCTGCAGCTGGTACATGAAGACAGCCTGCAGAATGCAACACATTGAATGGGGTTAATTACATCGATAATGCAGCACAACAACTATTTAATACAGTGTATGTGGATGGAGATACAAAGGATATTTCTGAAAAACCATGAAGGCAGCTGAACTTACTGGCAGAGCCGGCATAAAGATCTTCACATACAGCTGGGAGAGTCTTTATGGCAGACAGAAAAGGGAAAGGCAAAACTGAATAACCTGACGCATGAGTAACAAGTGTACATATATATATATATAGCAATGATGTCAGTTTATGCTATTGTATGAGTATAATACAGTGATTTAGTCAACCTAATGAAAAGGGTTCACCTGGCGACCTCGGCGCTCTGCTTGATAACCAGCAGAATGGGCTGAGTGTTAATAAGGACAGCCCAGCAAGGGAAACAGGCTAAGAGCAGAATCAAAACTCCCCTTTGTGCTATCACTCCTACGCGCTTTAGGTTACCACTCCCATAAATCTGCAATCAAAGGGTCAGAAAAACAGGAAAATAAACTTAAATTTGCTCATGTGTAAGAAAAAGGTCATAACTGATACACAGAGACAAATCTGAAAGAGCGCTGCTCAGGACTGACCTGCTTATGTAAGTAAAATAAATTGAATACCTGAGATATGAGAGTATCACATGCTGATGCCAAACCGCAGCCGATGGAAATGCCTGTGACATTTATTACCTATATTGAAATAAAATGATAGTAAATGACAGCCGTGAAAGAAGAGGTTCACACTCAAGAAGATGAATGTATGCGTATTTAAAAGCAAAGGCAGCTATCATTGGAAGCTAAAATTCCAAAATAAAAAGTCTAAGTGTGAGATCTCTCACCGCTATTGCTAATGCCACCCCTGCCAGCTCTGTTTTCCCCAGGTGACCGCAGAACACCATGCTGACGAAGCCGATCAGGAAGCTCATCAGCTGTGAAATGAGCTGAAAAACAAAATCAAGCTCCTTCGTTTTCAGAACTACAAAAGACATAAATGAACTTCACCAAACATGAATGAAATATTAAAACTCCAAATGCAACACATAAAGTAGCTAATTGAGTTATTATTCATTTAAAGAAACGGTTCTGAGAGGCCCGAGGTAAGGAAAAGTTCTTATTTGCACTGGCAGCTGACATGTGTCGTGCTTTGGTTTTGCTGCGGCTCCTTTGTATTTCTAAATGTCTTTTACTACTTCTCTTTTCTTCTTTAGAAAATAGTTCTTGTGATTGCTGGTGTAGGTTTTTGACGGGTTTTTGGCATCAAAAGGTTTGCACAAAGGGAAACTAAATGCCCTCATCTATCAAGTTTTGGGTTTGTGCAATGAATAGCACTCAATGAAAAGTGGATACATGTTGGGTTGCTACTTTTTTTTTTTCATCTCACAAAGTTATAATTTTCTGTTGAGGAAGCACTTACAAATGCACCTTATTTCATGTGGAATTTTATTTTTTAAATGTTTGAAAAGTAGCTTTGATTTAACATTTGAAATGGATATCAAGAGAGTTAGGGTTGAGGTTTAATTTGGATTCACTGACTTAATGCAGATATTGTTTACATTAGTGTGTAACTTCAAACTTCACATCTCTCCAACACAACCAACAAGTCACACTGTATTTTTTGACATGTAAACTAATGATGTCTTTAAACCATTTATTTGGGTCAGTGAAAGGGTGTCATTTATTTCAGTTAAAGTGTTCTGTATTGTGGCCACACTTTTATCACTATCAGGCAACTATTTCCCAAAGGTTTAAAGCTATTAACCTGTTAATTACACTTATGATTAAGCAGGTGGCAAATTAAAAAATAATTACTGATCCCTCACAATCCTTGTGTTAAAGTAACATTGCAAACTACTAAGTATACAGTCATAATTAAACAGCTTTTCCTGTATGCCGTTCTCAGTATCGCTGCAGTAACTTGGTATCTTTACCTTTAAAAATGTTCCCACTGGTGGAATAACACTGTTTCAGCTGTTGTATCTAAACACAATCTTACCACGGGTCCCGCCAGTTTTAAAAACTGGACTGCTTCACTCTTGTATTCCACAGGTAGCCAGAGCTTGATGCGTTTCAGGCAGGATCCGCAGCATGAGTCAACACTGCGAGCAGCCGGAGAAGGTGATTCATCTGTTTCGGACTGTCCATTTACTCCTCTACATGTGTTTTTTGTGGCTAAATCATCCATACCAAAATGAGATTTGGCAGAAAACAGAAGAGAAGAAAATGATGTTCGTACAGTACAATCGTCCGTGTCCCTTCAGACACAGAGGAGAAGGCAAGGGGTAATCAATAACCAATTACCAGGGTAATAATCAATAACCGAGGCAATGCCTGCCCACCTTGCTCCCTGTCTATGAGAGTGGACATGTATTGTATGCAGCTGCACTGCCACAAGACATATATCTCCACCCCTGAGCCACCAACAAGCTGTACATTCCTCTAGGATATGCTGCTAAAAATGAAACTAGTCAATGATCACTCATCTTCACTGTTTCACTAAAATTCCAGAGAATGAAATGTGATTTGGTCAAAGTTTGAAGACACACGTCTGTAGTTAAACACACTGGATGAATAACAGAGCCATTCTGTTTTTAAAAGGGCATATGCAGGAGGTGGAAGTCACTACGATAGGGAGGAAGAAGTCTAATCTCCAAACGTCTTCAAAGTATGTCCTGCTGCTCAAACGTCTTACCACAGTAAAAGACTTAAACAGTGCAGGTAAATGACACATTATCGTTGCTACTAGATATGTAATGAGGGATTAAAAAGATACCGTCAGTGGTCACAGAGGCTTAGGCTGCTCTGGAGTCTGTGGATTGTGGCTCTTTTATTTTTTTTTTACTGCATATCATGTAGCCATTTTGTTTTAGTCATTCCCAAAGGGCTGAATGATTTTGACATTTTCATTACATTCAGTCATTTGACCCACTGTAAAAACACAACATATCGACTAGAACTCTTTTATGTAAAGAAGTAACACAGGATGAATTAACAGCCATTGATGGCATTTCTATGAGCTGACACAAGCAAGACATAAACACAATTAACTCCCCTTTAAATCTGCAATTATGAGCTTCTTGTACCCTAAATGGTTATCGATTATGAAATTTGCCTGCATGTACATAGACAGTCAATAATTATTTGAGTGGGAAACGGAAGAATGGTTAAATATGTTAATGTAATCATGTGAACACTAAATGTAGCATCTTTGATTGCTGTATTTCATGTGGACCACGAGGTCACTGTAGGCGCGGCGTGATAATATGTATGAGAAACAACACATTTAAATACAAACTAAGAGATGAAGAAGGGAAATGTTTGAACATTCCTGTCACCAGTACAAACACTGTCTGCTGAAATCCAACAAACTCATTTGATACCTGCAGAGATACAAAAGAGATGAGGTTGTGTTTCTCGCTCAGAGACAGACTTGTTTATTTTTCCCTGAGGTAAATCACCGAGTCTGTCTCAGCAAAGCAACACACACACACTTGTATCCTGTCAACGCATCATGTACTATGTAATGTTCCTCCTGCCACAGTAACACCTCTCAGCGAGGCGTTACTCTCTCTGGTTGCGGCTGTGAGAACCTCCCATTGGGTGGTGCTGTTTTGCTCCTGTTGAAATCCAACCGCTCAAAAAAAATTTCTGGCACACCAGGTTGGAGAAACATTTGTTTCTCCTTCAGCTGATTTAAATCATTAAACACAGTCAAGGAGCCTGGTAACATACCGTCAAACATATTGTCAAACACTTAATTTTTGCAGTTTCGACTGTTTCTTTTCCTCGGGGGCCCAAAGGAGAAGAGTAGAACATTAAAAAAAAAAAAAAGGAAGGGAAATTAGCGGAGGCCAACGGGAGAGGAAGGGGGTGACACCTAATGTAGGCTCTCATTCATTTTCCTGGTTCAGTGATGCAGCAAGGCCCAACGGGTCCACCCACCCACCAAATTGTATTCCTCCGTCTCCCCCCGTCCCAACCACACGCACAGAATCACACACACGTAAATATGATCCACCAACCAGCGCGGCCGGCGTCCGCCGTGACGTCACACTGCAGTTCTTCTCGGGCTCCACTGGATGACAGTGGCAAGTCACCGCTTCCACGCGATGAGCCGTCATTCTTAATGGCGACTGCTCAAAGTGTGTGGACGTGAGTGCATTTGTGTACGTGTTTATGTGTGTGTGCGTTTGGGTGGGGTTCGCGCGCCGGATGGGTAGCGATGGGGTATTGAGGAGGTGGAGAGGGTTTATTGGAGGGGGGTAGGTGGGTTGATGGTAGGTGTAGGAGGCGGGAGGTGAGGGGGTGGCGGTGGTGGTGGGGAGGAGGAGGGTGGTGGGCAGTAAAAATCGCAAATGAGAGGAAATTGTTTTGAGTCACAGCAGATTTGGTGGAGTGAGATAAGGGCTGATGACGGTGGTGGTGGTGTGATTAGGATTAGGGTGCCGGTGGAGGGGGTGTAGGGGGTTTGGAGAGAGTCGAAGGTGGCGGCGGCGGCGGCGGCGGCGGTGGTGGGGCGAGTGTGTGCACGGAGGAAGGTTTTGGGAGGGGTGAGAGTATTTGCACGCACAGTGTGTGTGTTGGGGTTTATCTGTGTGTGTGTAGGTTGTAAATTTTTCTGTTTTCCACCCCCCCTCTGAGTATGAGAGAGGGGAATTGAGGAAAAGATGAGGAGATGGGTGGTTTAGATAATGGCGGCCACAGAGAACGGACGAGGGCAGAGGGTGTCACGCAGAAAGATAGAGTGCGATGGAACAAGAAAGAGTCGATGAGACAAAAGAAGTGAACATTTGATAGAGAGGCGAAGAAGAGAGACAGAGTGCAGAGGGTACACCGGTGTGGGGGGGGAGGAGGGAGGTGTGCAGGCCGTGGATGAGAGGAGAGACATTGAAAGAGTGCCAGAGTGATTTTTGACGTGTCTCTCTCCTCTCTGTCGTCCCCCCACCACCACCACCACCTCCCCACCTCCGCCCCTCTTTGTTGGTTATGTTGTGGGTAGCTTTGCTGGTGAGAGCTTTAGGGGTTTTGGAGTGAACAATGACGCAGAGGGACCCGCTGCGTCTGCTCCAGCTGATAATGATGATGCCCAAAAACGATAACAATAATAAGTAGCTTCTCGTGGAAACCTAAAACCGCTGGCACGTGACGCTATACGTCACAGACTATCACACACGACACAGTGGACACACAGACATGGCTATCTCACGTTGGCAGTGTGTGTGAGGGTGGTCAGAGGGAGCGAGAGGGAGAGAGAGCGAGACACAAAGAGAGACAGAGGTGGAAACAGAAGGGAAAAAAAAGGGGAGCGGGGATGAAAACGGATTACGCTCCGAGTCCGTCACCTGCATATACTTGACATTCGCATACGGGACGAAAGTGTGCGAGCTGAAAGTGAAAAACTAAATGAATGCATTTATAGCTGCCCCTATTGTATACAGGCAATCTTGTGTAATTTTGCTTTTATCAGTACAGACAGAAAAAAAAATAAATAAATCAAAGCAGCCACTCAGAGAAAAGCCGAACCCTACTGAGAAGCATTATTTTGAAATGTGGTAAAAACCTGAATGAGATGGTGGGAGGTGTGCGGTTTGTCTAACATATTTTTGACCACATTTTTCAGTTTAAATCTACACAATGTCAAGCGCTTCATTTGAATTTTAGACTTTGTCAAAAGGAACCAGTAATTGAAGCGTGGACTCATCTCACGATACAGATGAAAAGTAATTCAGCCATGACTAAAGCAGAAGAAAATTTGCTGTCTGCTCTTTTGATGATGTATGAGCCATTGAATTTCTTTTGGTGAGTCATATAGAAATTACTTGAAATAGTCATAGCGATGCTGCGCTCACATTGTAAAGTAGGTGCTATAAATATGGTTTGATGCTTTGGGAATTTTAACTTCAGCCCGCTTTGTGAGGAACGGAGACAGCAGAGGAATGGTATTCTTCTTCAAAAAACAAATTACAGTCGTGGCATGTAACTGTCGAATCTCTCAGGTAATTAGGTTAGACTATGCCTTAATCAATTCCTTGTCTGACCTGCTAAAACAGGCATCTCGGGAGCACATTGTAATTCCACTGTTGATTTAAAAGTGCTGTCCTAATGCAATGGACGAGCTTTCTGAAATGCCACCAACCCTGATTTGTCTTCAATGAGTCATCCAGCCTCTAAAACAATGCGACACCGTGCCGCCCGGTCCCTGGTGACACACTGTCCTTTCCATAGCACCCTTGATGAAGCTGCGGGTTTGTTCGTGGGGGTAAACACAAACAGACAGCACCAAAGGGTGTCTCACAGACTGCTCACATGGGCAAGGACAAGAGGTTAGGAGAGGGGGGGGGAGAAAAAACCTGCAAAAGATCAGAGTGAAGCAGGTTTTTGAGGACACACTGTATGAGTCAGTTGAAACCCTCCCATTAAGCTCGCATATGACTGCGTGTCTTTGTTGGGTGTGCGATGGGGTCGGAGGGCTGTATTATCGATGACAAATGCATGGTTGGAAGTGATGCTATGCTTTGTTGACTCATAGGCTGAAGAGGCTCATTGACTGTGGCAGCTGGTTGACCTTGGAGGGAAAGCAACCTGTTTCTCTCACTTTCGGTTTTACCCTTTGGAGCTTTTTTTTTTCTTTTTTTCCCCCCATGTTGTCTCGTCTGAGGAAGTGAAGCGGGAGATGTAGGTTCTGACAAGAGTGTCAGAGAAGCAGGGAGGCACCTGGCCTCACCTTCAGCGCTTCACGTCTCTCTCAGCTCTTTAAATCGGATCCTGACGCACAGTGATATGCTGCCGGTGTAACTATGCAATATCTTGTTTGGGAAATAGACTGAAAACAAAGTTGTTGAAGCCTCATGACACACTACAGCGATTTCTGATTCAGCCTGATAGCTTTCATCGTGACATGTGCACAACCTTTTAACTTCAGAAACCTGGACTATAAACTTGTATACTATATAAAAAAGTTGGGCATATCTCTTACTGAATGATGTGGTTACATGAGTTTTCATTTTGAATGTACAGTACAGAAGGAACGGTTACGTCCACGCCATCTACACAATATCTGCATTCTGCTCTTTTAGGCTCATACTGTACGTTAGTATATCCTAAACACATTTTTATAATAAACTTAAAAGGCATGTGGCTAACAAAATATACACCATAAATAAGAATAAAAGGCGTAGAACCTAA